GGTGGACTGAATCAGCGCGTCGTCTATTCGATCGATAAATCCGTCAATGCGAGCTGCCGGTCGGGGCACAAACAAAATCGGCTGATTTTTTGGAAGCCATCCAAAGGTATGACGAGGGGCTGTGTCGCTCGGTCGGCTCGCTAATGACAACAAAAATTTAAAGCTCCGATCGCGCTGGGGACTGGTGGACACGAGTAGCCGCGTATCGAGCTCTATACACGTCGCTATAAAGAAAATCTCGTGTACAATGTGATAAATCGTATCTTTTTGCCCCCGAGGCTCGTACAAATGCCTTGCAATCTCAATGCTGCCTGCATGGGCTTTTTCTATGAGTCACGGCGTGCATAGCCAGACGCGCGTAAGACAAGCCACAGGCTATTTACTGCCTAGCTAATATATAATTGGCTACCTAATCGAGTATCACTCGTAGTCGTCGTCGGCGGCGCACAAGCACAAGCACACGCACCACGTCACTGGGCTGCGCATGTGTTTTATTATAATTATATTAGTATGCGCGTACGTATGCGAGCCGACGACGCGAGATTTTTATTACGTTGTCGGCCGGTGTAATGAGTTTCAAGGTATTAATCGAGACCACCGCCTGCGAGTTCTCGATACGTCGACGCGCCCCCATCGAGCTTCTCCATCTCGAAAGCTCGCTCTCTATATTACTCTTCCAACTCTTGCTTTGTTCTATCGCGCGGCTCCAATTAGGGCATCGTTCGTTCATTTCGCTGCTCGATTTTTGCCTCGCGATCTCGAGTCCAGCGACTTTTAACGTTATTATTTCGTGCCTTATGGAGCGGATAAATTGGCGATAAAGTTTTAAGCAAAACATTATACGGCACACCGTAAATCCATAGGCCTAATTAGATATATGAAGTTTAATATACAACGCGCGCAATGTACATACAGCTCTTGGCGCGATCATCGATATAAATAATTATCAAGAGTGCGTAAAATTTTATACAACCGTAACCAAATGTGTATATATGCCAAACCAGTTTGAACTTTATAACTTATGCATTTGTTTATTATTTATTTAAAGAAAACAGGATGAAGCAGCAATAACATCGCGGCTATAACGTGATAAAGCGACTCATTTATTTTTCAAGAAAGTGACTTTGTTGCGTCTGTGCGTGTTTTTCACGCGACGAGCATATTATGAAACGAAACTATGTATTTTCCAAACGTCGAGAAAATCACTTATCGAATCGCATCGATCGATCGATAAAAGTGATGCACACTTTTTCCGCGTTATCGGCTACAAGTGAGCTCGTTTGGTTATAATATAGCGTGTAATACAGCACGGGTCGGTCGAGAGAGAAGAATAAAAATTAAGTGCAGCTTGTTAAAGTTTATCGCTTATTAGCCACATGCGCGCACACTCGCATGTTGCAGCGGGGCCTTATACTTTGCTCGCGCGAGGAGTGTCCGACGTATCAAGTTTCTGGTTCAATTGACCTGCCTCGACCATAAATACACGAATGCAGCTCAATCATCGCGATGATTTATGCCGAGATTTTTTCTTCTTATCCTCAGCCTGCGCACTTGCTCTCTTACGCGAGCTACGCGTTTAATTCGCCACTTTTTTTAGCCAGAGAGAGATTCAATAGTTTCGTAACGAGAGAAAAAAAAAAGGAAAAAAGTTAGTATTTCAATACTACTAATGTTTCGCCATTGGCCATTTCGAAATATCAAAAATATGAAAGACGTGTATGAAGGATTTTTCTTGACGATCGGTAGCTAAAAACAAGGACAAACAACATCCAAAGCCTGTCGGTAGAGACTCGCGAATCGCTGCACTTTCATCTCATTAAGACGCGAGTCGCGTGTGAATATTTTGTAATCTATTAATGAAGATGGAGTAAAATTAAAAATGTTACAGGCTCGAGTGACCCAACTACTATTTTTGCTGCGCTTCGCACGCGACCTCCGAATCGTTTGAATTGCACTCGCTGCATTCAAAGTGGTCCGCTGGTTAATGCGACGGGCAATAGGAAAGTTTTTTTCGTGCGCGTGCTCGATAGAAAAAGACAATTAAAAATCACGAGTATTCGGCGTAGGGCGTACGCTCGTTCGACCGGCACTACGCAAAGCAACGCTGCTGCTGCTACATACGGGTCCAAATAGCATTCGGAATTTTTGCCCGCTCGACGGAGTGTCAGCGGCGGCACGTAACCGGCAGCTGGCGCACTACGGATGTGCATTAGCGTACGACCTGATTTTTAATCGGAGAAAGATTGGCAGGTCGCGCGACGCACGCTTATTTGCCTTTGCGTCAACTCGTTCCATTCGCGCGGGCAACATTGCAAGTGTACACGAGCTCGTACAATTGACACAGCGCGCGATCATGATTCTTATACAGATGCGCGTCTAGACGTTCCGTAATTTGCCCGACGTGGGCCTCGAGTCGTTCGAATCTCGAACGGTACTGTCACGAGCAAAACAAAACGAGACGCTTCGCCGGCGAGGGTGCAACAACGCGCGGAAACGCATTGCCACGTGGGTGTTTATAATTGCGGCTATCGAGCAAAATAATGCGTGTAATAAGCGCGGGAGAAATTTCGCAGCGGAGAAAACGAGTTCTGCGGTCGTAACAGCGCGAGATGAAAAGCGTGATCGATCGGAAGCAATACTCGGCGGAAACGAGCTTGAAACGTTAATAGATTACGGCGATATTTATACGAATTGTGTAACTTGTCGAGCACTGCAACCGAGTCTCGAATCCCATTGCGGGCAGCGATGCATACTCGACCATCGGAGCTCAAAATGTGCCCAACTATGCGACGAAATACGATTCCTCATTCGCAAAACGGATTTATACCTTTACGGCAAAAGTCGAATCAAGAAGCCAGCTTGTGTCCATCGAGCACGCGCGTTTCCCCGAGACAGACAAATAGAGAAGATCGCCGGTGTATAGGGGAAAAAATGACAAGTCTTAGGTGCGTAGCTTCGACTTTCGTTGCCTCGCGTTAGAAAACACGTATTTCCCCTTTGCGACGATGATCTGCAGTCTCGCTTTTCGTGGTCTTACACCGGGATCTTGATGTACGAGAAACAATCGTCAGCTCGATCAATCGACACGAGAAGGCCAAAGTTGCGAATTTTCGTCGTTGTTGAAAAAGTAGTCGGCTCGCGCACGTGCCCCGAAGAGTCCCACGAGTCAGCTGCGGAGCACACAAAATATGCGTCTGCTTGAAAGCACTGGCTTCGACCAAGCCGCTACTATTTCCGTATGATATTCGTATGATGTTGTTCTAACGAAACGAATTTATTGCGCGCAAGCCAACTTATGCAAGCTTATATTGTTATACTAAACAGCTGGACTCGGAGCAGCTGCTTATTCGCATCTTTATATAGATAAAGGCGTAACAAATCCTTCATACGCTTAGTTATATGGGCTTATTTTTATCAACTATTCTACCTTTACACTTACTCTTTTATGTAAAACGAATTGGTTGTTGACAAAATAAAATATCATAACGATTTTATGCAGCTGCATACAGAAGCAAATCTTAAACATCTTTCAAAAGAAAAATCAAGTATTAAATCTAGCATACATATATTGCGAAATATTATTGCAATACATACGAGACCTCCAGATAAAAAAAGTAGCCAAGAAGAAGAAGAAGAAGAAGAAGAAGAAGAAGAAGAAGAAGAAGACGACGACGACGACGAAGGAGGCGAATAAGAGGAAACATAAGAGGTGCAGAAGCACCAAAATTTTCGAGATTCTTTTTCGCACCTTGGCTGCAAACGTGTTTGTGCATCATTATACACGCATCAGGCGCCTACAGTATATAATAATTATAATAGTGTTGTGTACGTGTCAGGGGTGTACGTGCCATGAGCAACACCTTAAGGTTTTTTCTCCTTGCCGCTCGAGCGCAAAAACGCTCGAGGGAAAATTAGCCACACGCGAGTCAGCGGCGCGTCTCTATTATAAAATTCATTATATACCGTCAGACGGCTTGTGTGCAAGTGTATATATATATTACTCGAGCTCATCATAGGGGACAAAGTTGGTATTGGAATTTAGCCGCGCGATGCGTCGCATGAATGGAGCTTAATTATGTGCCTCGAATAGCTCGCTCACACACATCACACACACACACACACGTGCGTGTGTACTTACACATGCTCTACGGCAATAGAATTACATGCATGTGTACAGCAGCAGTGGCGTGATTTTTTATCCAGTATACGCTGGGTTAAGTGCTCTTGATTTGTGTCATTCGCTTATAACGTGCCGCGCGCATATTGTCATCGTGGAGGTCACGTTTCCTTTTTCTTTCTTTCTTTCTTTCTTTCTTTTTTTTTTTATTGCCTCTCTTCTTTCTTTCGTCGACGGATGCCATGAGAAATGACGCGCGCCTCGAGTGCTTGAACTTTGACGAAAAAGGCTGAAAAAGAAAAGTTGGAGGGCGAGATATGGTGCTGGCAGGGCCACTTGCCGGCCGCACCTCGTTATCTGGTCGACAAATTTGCATGGCATGCGACGATGAGGGCATCGATGATGGTCGCACGACAATTGACTCATTTATACGGTCAATCAGGCAAGCCGATGAAAACTCGTAAATTCATCGTCCACTCTGGCTCGCGCAATTGGAAAAGTTTTTCCCTCCCCCCGAGGAATGCGAGGTCCGCGTGTGCAATGGACGATTGAACAGCAGCTCGCGTACAAACACGACGACGACGGCGACGCGTTCGACTCGCGGCTTCCAGGCATTTTTCTCGCTCCGGACTAAAGTGTGTATTATAACATAGGCGACGGATGGCAATATATTACATCGAGAGAAGATGAAGAAGAAAAAGATGAGAAAGAGTCCCCTTTGCGACTAAAAGTCGCAAAGCCCATCGTCACAACTCACAACGCAAATGTTTCTTGGGTATATATCTACGTATTATATATTTAAACGCTCACACATGCAGCATATATTTAAAATGTATAGAAAGAAGATATGTCTTTTATTAACGCTAAAAATAATGGCACTCACCGTTATGAATTAATCTGTTCTGCCGTCGCGACAGCTGGTTTCTTTCGTTCGTTCGTTCGTTCTTTCGTTCGTAGAAATTCACTTGCGTCGATTAAATTATGAAAAAAAGTTTGATTTCACAAATTTCTTTCTCAGCTCCACACACTAATATTGCACTCCACTTCGGTCGCACTCAAATTTATTTTAGATAATATATTTCTATACTGGTCGGATAAATCGTGAGCATGTATGTGTTTTTCGCTGGCGTATAAGTGCGTTTTGTGTGGGTGCCTGTTGTGTATTGTGTGCGTGTATGTGTGTGTGTGTGTGTGTGTGTGTGTGTATGTGTGTACGTAAGTGTATATTTAGATGAGCGAGTTGTCGGCGTCGAGCCGATACACACTATCGTGGCGAACTAAGAGCAGGCGAGCTTCCGTAGGTAGACTGGGCCGCACGAGGCCGCGCGGCTACCTTCAAGCGCGCAATAGACACGCGAGGTTTGCGCGCCAGCCCTTGCCTCGTACGTATCGGAGCACACCACAGAATATCCACAGCGGCACTTGTGCTCCTTTTTTGATTTTCCCTTTCTTTCGTCGCGTCTAATCGATACACGTGCCGGGGCTCGTGAAACGATCCGTACTCTCTCTCTCTCTCTCTCTACGGGCCACGATTCGCTGACACTTGGACTTGATTCACATGAAACGCGCACTTGCACCGATGATCATGAGCGATTCGCTAGTGCGCGTCCAACGAAATTAGCCGCACTCGCGCTTGGACGCTTTCGAAGGTGTCACTCGATCGACATGGCCATCCGTCGATCGTCCACGCTCTGACGTAGCTGATGCGTATCCTCTGCCGTGTACGTATGCACGCGGAGCTTTTTAAGGATCGCTGACTCGACCAATCAAAATCGTCGCGTGCCGGTCTCGCGCCACTTTTTTCACTGATATCGCTGCCGGCTGCCTACTACACGAGCCGCCACATCTTTGCATGTTCATTATATCGTAAAAGCAACCCTCTTCACTTTTTCCCTTTCTTGGCGAGATTGGATGAAAAGGTGACAATTTCTCACTCTCTCTCTTCCTCTTTCGATTTCCTCGCCTTCTTGCTGCTCGGATGCAACCTCGAGCTCCCGCGAGCGATCGCGCGTCGATATCGTTGTCGTACAATGCGTCGGAATAGTTGCCGCGCGATTGCTTGCACCAACGTTTTCGAGTAGCGCGCGCTTACGAATCTCAAATCGTACTGCAGCGTATTGTGTGATGCGAATGTCTGCTGCCGCAGTGGAATTTCGTCTCTCTCTCTCTCTCTCTCTCTCTTTCTGCCTTCCTTTCCTCTACCTCCTTCTCCACCTCCTCTTCTATTTCGTCTTTTTCTCTTGGCTCATATATATATATGTGCATGTACACGCACACAGATATACTCATACATATATATTTGCAACACTCGTTCTTTTTCTGTTTCTTTTCCTTCTTTTTCTTCTCTTTCTCTCTCTCTCTCTCTCTCTCTCTTTCTCTCTATCTATCTATCTCTCTGACTGATACTAAACTAACAAGTGTGATTACAAGATTTTGTGTTATATTGTTTTTTGTATAAATAAAAAATATTTAAACTTGTATTTCATTAATACGCACTACAATATACTTGTGTACGCAGAAACTCTATGAAACACTAAATAGACATATCTTATTTTAATTTTTTTTATCAGCAATTATTTATAACAACTGCTTTTATCATTTTTTGTACTTACACCAATGAAATATAATGTACTTCCGAGAAATAAAAAGGATACTGCTTTATTTTTCCATCTTACCTTTTATGATAAAAAAAAAATTAAAATCAAAGTTAACAAGTTGAAAAATGAGCTTACTCATATTGTAGTTGACCAAAAAAATTAATGCACATGGATAAAAGATCTATTAACAATTACTATAACTAAAAACCTAAGACTTTTAACATTACTGCTTTATAAAAGTCAAAACTATCGATAACGTCATTTTAAAAATTTATTTAATGCACTAAACTCTCCATATAAACATAAACATTTGAATTTAGCATTTTTTTATTTTCGTGATAATAGTTTAATACTTTATTCAATCAAAACTAATTAAATTCACTTATTATTCACAAATAAATACCATGGAAAAACTGTATGCTTAATTAGAATTGTATGTGACATTTTTATAGCTCTATTTCTGCACCTATGCAATAATACTACCATAGAAAATTATCCCGGTTGAAAAAATTTGTGTGGATTTCTACGTGAATTATCTACACAAAATCCACACGGAATCTATCGGCATAGATTGCATGTAAAATGAAAAAACGATTATAAAATAATTTTGAATTAAATTTATTTATAGAGAAAATTTTGAAGTTTATTGAATTGAGGAATTTTTCACATCGTATTTTTTGTATTATATGAAATGAAACAAGAAATAACTTATTTTGAAACTAAATTTAAGAAATAAATATTCGTCTACATGAATAAAGGCGAGCACGCAAAAAACAAGTGATAATTATTGCACTTGAATTGTCAAAACTTGAGCAAATTTTCTTCTAAATTATCTTCATATAAATTTTAATGTTAAATTATTATTAATAATAATTAATAATTAAGTTCCAGTTTTATATAAATTTTTATTTCAAGAATCCAAATGTTTTGAAAACTCTATCTAGTTATAAAGAATTGAAAAAAACAAAAGCACCTCGTTTGATGCAGTCTCTGTAAATATATTAGAATTAGAAATAGAACATCCCGCGCTACACAGGCATGTTGCAATAAAAGGCGTTGTACACGCAAATTATTCTTTGATAGTCTTTACGAATTTATTTAATGTCTAGGTGATATCTATGTATACGCTCATTTCGTTTGCATAGAACATTTATAAAATAACTCAGGCTGACGCTGTTGGTGCATTTTATGAATATTTTGAGTACATTTTCTCATTAATTATTCTAGTGGATTTCGACAACTCAGAGCAGAAAGGCACCACTTCGAGCCGACCTTGCTGCCAGCTTTTTAAACAGTATAGTACTATGAAGCCTAATCGAATGAATTTTTTTTATAAAATGAAAATAAAAATAAAAATATTTGTTACTGCAAACAATGTAAAAAATAAAATTACCTCGACATCATTACATCATATGCATTTGAATAGTGTGAACAGAAACCCTAGCCTAGCCCCCCCTACCCTTGGTTTGGAAATTTAAAGTAATACTGCTCTCTAAGAAAATGAGGCACAACGAAAATATTTTTATTAAATGAAGTGTACTAGCTACCCTAAATCCTCAAAAATCTTAATAAACTTGAGTAGCAAAACCATCTTTAGTTTTATGTTAAAACGGGATAGATTCAAAAATTTACCAATAAGCCTGCGCACGAGGCTCTTCGTTTTCTATCGCTTTTTTAGATTTTTAAAGTCCTAAATGGCTTCGGAATCGGTATCGAAAAAAAACGGACTTCCTTATGATTTGAGGTATGTGAGATATTGGGGCCTAGTATTTCGGCTTCGGGGCTCGTTTTCTATGGACTATAACATACCAAAAGCGCACCAGTTGGAGCTATATCAAATTGAAAGTTGCAATTATTTGCCATGTATCACTTCTCAAAATTTGATTTTTTAACAAAAAAACCACAGGAACTATTTTTCTCTTACCTATCGATGGTATTGACTATGAACAATTCAATTTCTCAATTCTCATCCATGTGAATTGTGTGCGTGAGTTTTGGGATTGCAGCGATGCGATTGCAAGATTGACAACCGTACCAGTTGCATGCTATATTTTTTATCATAACGCAATGAGCGATAACATGAGGTATAATCATGTTGAAAGTTGAAAAAAAATCGGATTCTTTGATTGTCAATGCGAGTTAGGGGGAAAAACTATTTGAGTAAAAATTTTTAACCCTAAACATTTAACCCTTTAACGCCTGAATTGTTCATTTCTGAACAACATCTTTAGCGATCTATTACATCAACTTAAAATTGTTTAAAAATCTTTTGGGGCATCACTTCAAATGTAAAATTTAACGTGCTTTTTGAAGTTGGTGTCAGAATCAAATTTTAGCATAAAAAAAGTCCATGACATGTATACTTTATTGTTGAATAATTGTAATTACGAAATTAAACATGGAGATCATAAATATGACTCCCGAATACCTGAAAGTCATAAAATGATTTCGACAATTTTTAACTCGATAACTGTCAACTTTACGAAAAAAAGTTATATAAATGTTATAATAAATAACTGTTAAGAATTTAATAATTTTAGTTATTCAACTCTTATATAACATTTTTTATACTTTTGACATATTTTTAAATTCCAATAATAATAATAATTTGTTTAATTTCAATACTTTCAAGTAAAAATAAAGACTATTGATACCGCGAAAAATGTTTAAGTTATATCCTATTCAATAAGAGTGGTTCCTATTCAATAAGAGTGGTGAGGTTTTAAGCGTGAGCAGTTTATAAGCTCTGTGATTGGTTGTTCAGTAGCTTGCAATTGTTTACTGGCGCGCAAATACGAGTGTTGTAGTAAGTTGAAAAATTGGAATATTAATCTATTGACGGCTTGAGACTAATTTTGATGTTTACAGTTTATACCATAATCTTCGTTTATCTTATTTTTCTATTTTAAATATTAAAAAATGGTAAAGTAGGATAAGAAAGAAGAGAGCGCGAGCAGCGCGCTGAAAGTCGGGCTAGTACTTAATAATCATTCTATGAATAAAGCTTAAATTAAAAAATAAATATCCAAGGTTGTTATTTCCTGTCATCCTTTAAATTGAAAAGTTTTATAAGTCACGAAGAAACATCGTCATTTTGTGGGCGCGTTACACATGTCAAAAAGTACAACCGTATATAACTCTACGGTTAGCGTAAACGATAATAGTGAATGATGATAAACGTTATTGGTGCGATAGAAAATCGTACAATTTTCCAAAACGAATTATGTACAAAAAAATTATGGTTGATGAGCGATGTTGCGCTATAACCAATTGTAATAAAAACATTAATGACGATATTTCACTTTTTTGAACTTGCTACTTGTTAGTATAAATTTAATTTTTAATTGCATGTATTTGAGATGGTAAAGTAGGGAACAAGTATGATTAAGGATGGTCTACCTATAAGTTTTTCTGAATCACAACACACCATGCCCTATACTTCACTAGCAGAACCTTCACTCACACAGTTCCAAGTGCTAGTTATTTGTGTTGTATGAAATAATACATTTCTTTGGCATCAAGCATACATATTATAGTGTTGTTTGGCTTAGTGTACATACACACAGAATACGAAAAATGGAGTGTATCGTAGCGAACGTTGACAATTTTAAATTTGATATAGAAATTGCTCTTGAAGAACAGTATGGGGCTCTTCCACTGCCTTTCAACGGCATGGACAGTTAGTATCGTTTTTAAATCATAATGATTAAATAATTAGAAATACTTTGAAAATGAACATAGACATAACCTTCAATTTACTATACTTGAATTTCTCTACTATTCTATTATGCTTTAACTCCTAAGTGCTTAAAGGTATCTTAAATATTCATATTAAGTTTTACTGAATATTTGCTAATAGTTGAAAAAAAATTTTTCAAAATTTGCATTATTGCCTTTCTTTTGTACATTATTTGAAAGTGTTTTAGCCATTATAATACTCAAAAATTGTTGAATATATAGTTAAAGCACCACAAGCTCTCAGCGATATAAGAAGTATTGATTCTTGGCTCTGTCTCAAGGTTTGGTTTAAAAAATTAGCTCTACTGACTTCCATCAGGTTTTTTTTATCCAGTAGATCTTTGGCCTCAGATGCAAGTTCAAACTATATGCATGAGATGCACTTTTACCATTTGAATTTTCAATTCAGTAAAATTGATATAACTGTCAAGTCCAGGTTTTAATGTTAAAGTAAGTGTATACAAAAGTACAGGGCAGAATTGTATCAAGCTTTATTCAGCTTAAACATGTATCCCAAGTTGTCACAGATAATTATATATATTTTTATTTTATATAATTATATTATGATTATATATATTTATATATTTGGAAATTTGTTTAATTTTTGGAGAAAATATTTATTTGATTCTTTTGTATCACAATTTTTATTAATTCAATAAAGACAGTGTAAATATGTTAATAAAAATAGACACACTCTAATATAAAAAAAACACAATTGATCATTATTTTTACTCAAATTTACTTATAATAAATTAGATTTTTTATAGCTGATATTTTATAAACCCATTATATGAAAACTTAAGGTACTTTTGAATTTAAATTAAATTTTTTTATATAGTAAAATTGCTAGTTTAGTTATGATCTTGTTTTAGTATTAATTGTTGAAATGGAATACTAAATACATTCAATTTTGTAGAATCGGTAGCTGCAGTATGCCAATTCTATCCAAAAGGCACATGTACAAAAGGAGCTGCTTGTCCGTACCGTCATGTTCGAGGTGATAGAACAATTGTATGTAAACATTGGTTACGTGGTTTATGCAAGAAAGGAGATCAATGTGAATTTCTACATGAATATGATATGACTAAAATGCCTGAATGCTACTTTTACTCAAGATTTAGTAAGTTTATTTTCATACATTTTGTGACTTTATTTTCAAATCTAACTGCAACTTATACTTGCAGATGCATGCCACAACAAAGAATGTCCATTTCTCCACATTGATCCTGAAACTAAAGTTAAAGACTGTCCTTGGTATGATCGGGGATTTTGCAGGCATGGTCCATTATGCAGGCACCGTCATGTTCGTAGAGTTTTGTGCATGACTTACGTAGCTGGATTCTGTCCAGATGGATCTCAGTGTAAATATATGCAGTATGTATTTAAAACCAATTCAATTATATTATTATATACGTTTTTTTTAAATGAGACATAATTAATTAATTGATGAAAAATTATTATCAGTCCTCGATTTGAACTACCTGCTTTGCAAGAACTTCAGCCAAAAGAGGGAAAAAAAGTTATGATCACATGTCATTTTTGTGGAGAAAGTGGTCACAAAGCCATTTATTGTAATAAAATGCCAGCTGAGATGCGTGAGCAGCATGCACGTCAAGAAATGGAAAGACAAGAAGCTGCGCGTCATGAAGGTGGACAACCCCCTCATCATCCAATTCATTTTCCTCCACCTTCATTTCATCATCATAGGCCTGGTCATCAACCCAGAGAGCCAGGCCAAAGAGGTCCTCAGAAACCACTTGAAGAAGTTACTTGTTACAAATGTAGTAGGAAGGGTCACTATGCTAACAAATGTCCTAAAGGCCATTTAGCATTTTTAAGTCATTCAGGTAATATCGGAGGTGATCACGGCGGTGGTATCACTGCGTGAGATAGCACAATAAGGATACATTTTTTAAATGTACATAAGTGAGTGAGAATTGTATAAATAGTGATTGTGTTTTTTACGGTGAGTTATAAATTTGGAATTCATATAAAAACATGGCATGCAATATAAAATTATTCCTACTTTTTATAATGAATGTGTTAGCATAGTAGTAAACATTAAAGTCAAAAAAGTATGCCCTACAGTTAGAGCATTCTTTTTTTATTATCTTGAATATTAAAATTGTGTGAATGAATAGTAAAAAAGGAGAAAAAAAGAATGAAATCCCTATAAATGTAATAAAATTGTACAAAAGGTTGATTTGGGTTTAACATTGTTCATGATGCTGAGCAAATGAAAAAACCTGAAAAATTCTATTTAAGTATATAATGGTAGTTTATTGTTAGGGAATTATTATTAGGGAACTAGAAATGTTTTGACGATAAAAATGACATATTTTAGTGTATTAATCATGATTATTTCAATAAAAAAAAAATAAAACATACTTCAACTTTTGGCGATTTATTTAATTCTCTACAAACTTCTTATACATATTGCATATACACCATTTTGAAAAAGAATACATACATTACGCATTGAAATTTATTGCATTGATAACATTATTAAGTGTGTTTTAACGAAATCTTATATAATAATGATTTAATTTTGTTTATATACACTTACAATTTCGAACTAATGATGACACTGAATTTATGCAAGTAAAATCAAATTTTATAAAATGTTTACAATAAAATGATTGAGTTCGATATATAAATATTTGCTCAATTTCTTATATCCTAACATATTAAAAAAATGAAAATTCAATTTGGTTGCTGAAATACATTAATTCAATAAATCATTAAAACAGAAATATTTACATAGTAACTTGATAATAAGTAGTGTAAAGAAAATTATTGCACCATCAGTAAAAAATTATAAAAATAAAAAATCTATTTGGCCTAACAAATTATTTAAATCTATCACTGAGCAAATATTTGAAAATATTAAAATTTACATCAAATTTAAAAAATGGGTAAATTACTGCAATTGAAATAGAGTTGTCGGCTGAATATTCTTACAGAATATATTATTACATTAATTTCTTAAGTACAATTTTATTGAGTAAAACATGCAATATCTTTATTTTTATACTCAACACAAAATCGTTGGTTATTCTTTAAAATTAACAGGATTCTAGTTAAGATAAAACTGGTTTTCGTCATCAATTTTTTTTTTTAAGTTAAATATTGTTAAAGCAATTCAACCTAAAGCTGTTAAATCTAACTTTGAAACATTTGTAACAATTTCAAAAACCTGGTGACAAAAATACACCTTTCATATTCGTTGTTTAAAATAAAAATTTGACACTTTCAAATTCCTGAGAAATGTATATAACTTGATCAAAATTAGAAAATATTACATGAATGTATTATAAGTTACAAAAAGCTATTGCTGCTATTTCATCTTCATCATAAAATGAATAATAATTTTTTTATTTAAATGCAATCAAAATGAAAATATAGAAATTAAACATTCAATAGTATTATTTCATCACCAAGAAATCAGAAATTAATAAAACATTGCACCACCCAGGTCTTTCAATCATGAAGAGCCATAATCAATAACTTCAACGTGGTTGGCCGGAAAAAGACCATACGTTCCATCGGGAGCTAAACCTTGCCACCATCCTTCATCAATAGCATCAATATGAGTGATGATATCACCAGGGTCAAAAGTAATTTCAGTTTCATCTGCAGCTTGATAATCATAAAGAGCACGAGCTTTCATACCTTGATTATTTGGATCAAGATATAAATATTGACCACCATCCAATTGGCCATATAATTCATTTTCTGCTTCATTTATATTTTCTTCTGATTGAGATGGCGTTGCTAATATTTTTTGCATATGCTCTGCTTCACTGATGATTTTGTCTTGAGATGATACATGATTGTTAACTGCAGTACTTTCTTTCAATTCAGCTGTTTCTTCCATTTTTTCTTGTACCTCATCATTGCCTAATTGTTGTACTGCATATTGGTGGGATGATGGTTCAGATTTAAATTGTAATGGAGACTGAGGTTGAGTTGGTTGTTTGTTAAGATCTGATTTTAAATAAGACTGATTCTCTATACAAGCCGGAGCTAGCACTTCTTGTTTTTGTTGTGATTGAGATTGCTGCTCTTGTTTAGAATTTGGTCCTGATTGAGATTGAATTAGAGATTGAAAATATTGTGCTCTAACAGGTTTTGCTATACTAATTGATCTGTTTCTGAAATAATTTAATTTTTATTTAATAAAAGCATTAAGTTTATTTCAATCCAATTATAAGATTGTTAGATGTTTTACAATCATTTTAAAAGTATACTTACTCTGATTTTACACTTTCTTTTTGCTTATTTTGTTCTAATTGATTTTGTTCGATTGCTCTTTTAGCAGCTTCTACATGATGTCCTCTTTGATGATGAATTATGGGAGTTTTTGTTTGACCAGCACTACTATTCTGTTCAAATATTGCTCTTGCATTAATGGTCCTTTGAGCCATAAGTTCTTGAGCTTCTTGAATTCTAAGTCTCCGCAATTCGTCACATCTAGACATTGGTTCATCATCGGAATCTTGATTTTTTTTGTTGTGTATTTGATTTCGTAAATTTTTTATTTCTTCAGCTCTTTGTTCTGCTTTTCTTTGCACAGCTATGATACTTTCTTTTGCAGCTACCTATAATTAATCATTTTTAAGAATTTAGAAGTTGAGATGGAATCATTGAAATATAAACAAAAATGATATTTTAATACCTTTTGCTCTCTCAATTTATTCTCTTGCTCTTCCCGCCTTTTTGCCTCTTCTTCTAATTTTTTTCTATTCTGTTCATGTCGAATACGTTCTTGTTCTAATCTTTGCTTTTCTTCCATTTCTTCTTTTTGCCAAAACTGATCACGCTCACTTGCATTTATTTCTTGTGCTGGAATTACCCTGTGAATGAATAATTATTTAATTATCTTTGTGGAATGATATATCCAATTTAACTTAGAAGCAGTTACCTGCGATAAGTAGTTCCTATGGGGATAGAACGATCTCCATTTTGACCTCTAGGTTCATTAAATTTATAAGATGAACCAGTTGCTCTAGACAATTTTTCCATGATTAATTCAACTTCTACATCTTCTTCGGAGCGTGCGCTTATAGTTATGTGTGCACCCTTCAAAAGCTTTTCTATATCTCTTATATGATTTGCACAAGTTCCTTTTTTTACTATAGGAGCTCCTTCTCCTTGCTTAAAAAGTCAATAAATGAATTATAAATTAATTTCATAATACATGTTTATTATTTTAATTTTAGTATTGAATTTATAATCACCCAATTAATTAAGACGCATTTGTGTAGTGTTGTTTTTTTGTCTATAACTCGACAGAAAGCATACATTATTAGTCCTTCATTCAATTCATCAATCATTTCTTCTAGTCCTCCTTTTCCAGTACTCACAACTTTTAAGGTATTTGTCTGACCTTCATACCCATATACAGCCCTAAAAAAAATTTTATTGATAAAAGCATCAGTCATGATATTTACTTCAAAGAATGAAAAATTTAAAAAGCCCAAGTTTAGCCTGTACTTTAAACATTTAATGTATTAAGTATGTATTTACATGAGTGAAAAGTGGGTAATGCATCAAAAAGTAAAGGAAAGAAGTAACAAAATAAAATTAATAGATATTAAATAATGAAAAGGAAAAAATGTAATCATAAATAATTCGTAAGTTTTTAGATCTCAAGAAAATAGGTTTTTCTTGACTTCTCTCATAGTACTAGATCACATGCTTACCCTTAAGATAGAGTTAGACTCTAATTGCAATCTTTATTCTCTTTTTCTTGGAAAAAATGGAGCATATCTTGGAATTGTTAATTTTGAAGTTGAATTTTATCGTTGAGTAAAATTCTGATAAGAGCAAGGCGAAAAAAATGACTCTCAAACAAGCGAAATCGATGTAATCGATCGATAGATAGATATGTGTATCGTCGAAAGCTGAATTCGGTTGCGAAAACTGCGTATGCCGGCAAAGATCCGAAAAAGGAAAGCAGCAACTAAATGCATATACATGTTGCAGAAATATACGCGAAAGTTTTGTATGGTAATCACACGTTAAGGAGGTCTAGGAAATTGTGTGCGTGTAGATGAGGAAAGGTGTACAATGCTTGGAGGGAGAGCAGCCTACGGTACATTGAGAAAAAAATGAAACGATAACTCACCAATTGATAGGGGACTTGTCATCAACGACGCTCTGCCAAGCAGCAGTCAAAGCGTCCTTATTTTTCGTCAAGTTGATAGCCATAGTTGAGCAAATAATCAGCTCGTCAATGTGAGAAGTAAGCAGAGCACTTTAGCCAGCAAGATTATTTTTTCGACTGAAAGTGCACGGGCATTCGTTTGTTTTAGCTCTTAACAAATTTTCATTGATAATCGAATTCTTTGACCGTTTCACTTGTCGCTATGCTCACACTTGCACCAGGGCCCATGCAGAGGTACTCACTACACTCAATACCACTGCATGATGCGCCAATTCGCTCTGCACGATTCTTTGGAGTCAGTCACCGATAACCAAATTACTGCTTTGTACTTGTAATACACATTTACACGCATGCAGTAGTAGTACGGAGTGATACGGTCTAGAGCGGTAGCCGGACGCGAGACGAGTCCGGCGAGTGCGACTCTGACGTGTGCGCGTGTTCGTGCGAGCCTGTAGTGTCAGTAAAACGGAGCGATGTCAACGTCCAACACAGCGTGGTCAACTTTGCGGCGCTCACAAGGCGCCGTGCGCGAGCTTTTCAGCTATTTTAGGCAGTAGGTACAACAGCGCGAATACCGAGCTGCGATAATGACCCGCGTTTCGCGACAGCCATTATCAAACTCAAGGCGCTACGGCTCTGGGCTCCCTCTTCGATTTCAGTATGCGTGCACTTATGCCTATAGACACTTGACTGGCAACATGTCTTCCATTAATATGACTTTTGACACTTCTTGTCATGAGTGCTGCTGCGTACCGTATTATATATGTGACCGGATCACTGGTCTACACGCACTGCACCTTCGTCGTAACTGCGCTACACGCCCACGACTATAAATGGCTCTAGACTCTAGAGCGCAGCGTGCCGCCTGCAGTGCAATTTCTCAACTCGACCAAGGGTCTGAATGAAGTCATTTGAATAATTCACTTCATTTTGCGAATCATTTTCTTTCCTACATGCGTACAGATATATATTTACCACATAAATATCTCCGACGGAAATCGAATTTTCCTACAACTTTTATAAACTGGAATAAATTTTTTTATGATTTTAAACTCATATAAAAGTTTATAAAAGTTTGTAGCAATTGATAAACGTAAATACGTCTTTATAAAACTGTATACGCTTTTATAAAATCTTTAAACATTTTCATACACTTTCATCCATTTTTTGTTTAAATTCCACATAGCCAAAACCCGATGAAATGTTTCCAACATAAAATAAATAATAATAATAAGATTAAATAGTTTTTATATGAGTCCTAACCCGACCGATTGTTTAAGTTAATTATAATCGTTTATATATAAATGTAATAAAACATAGAAACATTAAAAGATACGTTCAACTTCTGCAGATAATAATATTTACTACATGCATGCATTCATATTGAATTTTAACAACTTATAAGCAGTTTTAAATCGTTTCGCAAATTATTCCAAAACTCACAATGATGACTGATTACAATGATGAATGTTCATTTCACGTATTTCTACGATACGCTGATGCAATACATCTAAACCTTATACGCTTATCGATGTATAGAGCACAAACAACGATTTATTATTGTGTGTCTCTAGTGTTCCATACGCCGGTTGTGCGGTTATTAGTGTAACTTTATTTGTGCCAAGTTGACCAATAAATATAAAAAATGGATCAATTACCTTTTCAAAGTTTACCCTTGTGTGGTATTTTAGCTATGTCTATTTGTACATATTTTGCAACACTTAGTTTAATTCCAGTTTTAAGGGAAAAGTTTATAAAAGCTAACCTTTTTGGCATTGATATGAACAAGAAAACACATAAGAAAATGTAAGTTCTATTAATTAACAACATAAGCTATATTCTATATTCTTGATTGTACTTTATTGTAATAAAATCAACATTTGAACACAATTATTAGTTGAAATCTTATTATTGTTCCAGTCCAGAAGCCATGGGGATTATTTCAGGAGGCACATTTCTGATAACTATGTTTTTATTTATACCTGTACGATTCAGTTATTATATTTTCAATGATGTAAATCTTCCGCGTAACGAGGTTTGAATTATGAATAAAACTACTCTTCTATTTCTGAAGTGTATAATTGTATTAATTGAAACTTTATTATTTCAGTTGGATGAACTTTTGGCAGCTCTGCTAAGTATTTGTTGTATGCTACTTTTTGGATTTTTAGATGATGTTTTGAATCTTAAATGGAGGCACAAATTATTTTTACCAACTATTTCTAGCTTACCTCTTCTCATAGTTTATTATATCAATTCTAATTCTACATTGATCATCGTACCAAAGCCATTCAGAACATTTTTTGGCTTAACTATAGATTTGGGGATCTTTTATTATTTTTACATGTTAATGCTTGCAGTCTTCTGTACAAATGCCATAAATATTCATTCTGGTATCAATGGCTTAGAAGCTGGCCAAAGCATAGTAATTGCAATCAGTATAATAATTTTCAATGGTGTGGAATTATTTGGGAAATGTATGCAAGCTCATCAGTTTTCCTTATATTTGATGATTCCGTTTTTAGCTAGCTCTGTAGCTCTCTTCAAATACAATAGGTAAGTAAAGGCAAATTTTAATTTTTTTTACAAATATTGAAAAAACAAAGTAAAATTAGTTCTTTTCAACTTTTATTAAATGAATTATATCTCTTATAAATATGAAACAATAAATACAGTCTTATTGGTTAAGGAATACTTTTGAATGCGATACAAGGGGTATATTAATATAATATATGTTTTAACTTTCATCTTGAATAATCAAGAAAGCACAACAGTCATACTATCAATGTGTACATGTATATAATATATACAGACTCAAAATGAGACAAAGCTCTTGTATTAGCCACCTGGTATCGCATAGAATTAAACAAACAAGATCAACAGGTTTAATGACGCTATTTAATAAAGAGGAAGGATCATGGTGTAGCATTGTTACATATTTTTAGACATAATCCTTTGGCTGACAAAACTCGAAAGTACGTAATGTACATACTTTCTTGCGTTGTACATAATCAATCAGACTTGTTATTACATGGTAGATACACATGTATGCATTTACATATAGATGTATGTAAGCATACACATATGTGAGGCATTTTTTTTTAAATTTTGCTTTATAATTACGCTAAAATGGTAAATTGTGCTTTTCGATTTGAAATGACAGTTTGAACGTTCACACACACTGACAGGATTAAAAGTTACATATCATACTCGGCATAATAACAGCTTGTAGTTGTTGTTTTTTCTCGTTTTAATTTGTTAATCCCATTATAATTTTGTTCGTTAAATATCACAGTCGAGGATAGCGCGTCGTTTTATATAATTATTCTTTAGTAATAATCCAACTTGGCATAGAAATTTTCGACGAGCCAGTCGTACTTCCAGGTCTGGTTCATAACGGTTTCGGGCGCATAATAGGACTCCCTCGATCTCGAAGCTCTGAGCAGATTGGTTTTTTCGTCGAACCACATGCCGCTGCCGATGAGTTCCTCGACGAAGGACACGTCTATAGCACTAGGATCGACTTGGAGCTTGAGCAATTCGCGAATCTTGGCACTGCTCTTCTGACGCAGAGCCGAGATGACGTTTGCCGGACCCTGGCAGAACTGGCAGTACCAGCCGCCGTAGTGATTGAGATCGCCGATCACCAGTCCCAAGTGCTCGCGTTCCTGCGGTATCTCGTTGGTGTCGATCTGCTGCTGCTGCTGCTGTTGCTGCTGTTGGCTCGTCGCCACCGTCGTGGGCGTTCGATTTTGCAGCTCGCGCATCAATCCTACGGTGCTGGCTCCGAGGGCGATGCTCGTCCTTTGCGGGTGCTGCCAAAAGAAGCCGAAGATGCACCAGCGCAGTCGAAAGCCTATTGGCTGAGGCCAGCCGTCGTAGAGCTTGAGAAACATCAGTGCCCTGGAATTGAGAATCTGTTCGGGATCGGTTGTCACGTAGATGTCGTCGTCGCGGATGTTGCGCACCGACTTCTTCACTCGCTCCCAAACGTACTTGGCCAGGACTCGAGGTGACTCGAGCGACTTGCTGCCTACGTTTACGTAGAGAATTTTGTCTTGCTGCTTGGCGAGAAAACCTTTGACTGGAAAAAGGTTACGCTGTTAGGGTCTAGGGCAAACGGAGCAACGAGCACGCGTATATTACACAGCGATGATACTTACCGAGCTTGTGTCGGAAATTGTCCTCGGCGGTGCTCGTGTCGCAGACGACGAAGATATCAACGACCGGGTAAAGCTCCTCGACTATTACCTCGGCGAGGGCTGAGTTGTGATCGTCGACCTGGAAGATGTGGAGAATGCGACGCGCGTACTTGCGACGGCGCAGTTTGGCCATTTGTTTGGAAGCCATGATGGCGCGCCAAACGACCTCGGGTTGGCCGCAGTCGACGCCGTGCCAACCGGAGTCGCAGATGCATCGCTGCTGCGAGCCGCCGCGCTGCATGAGCACCTGATTGACCCCCTTGTCCCAGCAGAAGGTACCGTTGAAGCTCTTGAACATGGTCGATGTGCGCGCGTCCCGCAGCCAAGTCTCGGCCTGGATAATGCCGAGCCGATGCGGCTCCCCGCCAGCGGAGCTCTTGCCTCTGCTGGCGTTGCTCGCGTGACGAGAATGCAAATCCACGAAGCTGACGCTGTCCTTGTGCGCCGAACTCGACGACGTCGCGCTCGACTCATCCTCGTGGGGCGTCGAGGCGACGTAAATCATGAAGACTAGCACTTGCAGTACCAGCAGCGTGTAGATGAGCGCGAGTTTCCAGTCCAATCGGGCATGCATCGCATCGCCTTCTTCCTCAACTTTGCCGTCGATTTTACTCTTACCGGGCCTGCTGTTCTTCAGGCTCGTCGTTCCATCGTCGACGTTCTTCGGCTCGTTGCTCCAAATTGAATCGTCCTTGCCTCTGTTAATGTTGATTTTATCGATGCAACTCTTGTCGTTATCGCCCGCTTTGGCAAGCAACGATATCGTAGACAATCGCTGTTGCTCGCTTTGGGCTGTCAGTTGCGCTAGACGCCTCCTCGGCTCGTGGCGATGACGTTGCTGCACTTGTTGCTGGAGTCGTGGATCTCGGCCGCCGTTCGTTGGCGCTACTCGCGCCTTTCGACCTGGACATCTGCAATCATTTTTTTTTCTTACTTAATTTATCGACATTGAACATGGCTTGCTTTCTATTAGCGATCGCGCCCACGCGAGTATTTTCTTGGACGAAAGAAACCACTGTAACGCACTTCTGAAACTAATCCAGCATTCGATTCTACTTTTGTGGTTTCTATAAAATGTATGCCTGCGATACTGACCGAATCAATACTAAAGTTTCTAAGTAATGATTGGTGTATATGTTACTGGAAAAACTCGAATTGCCTATTATTTTAGGACATACCCGAAATGCCTACAAAATGCCTTTGTTTAGTATACAGTCATGCTTATAATAGGCTAGTATATTTCAGAACGAACGAAATGTTTTCGTTCCCTTCGTAAACTCAGCGCAAATCGTTTTATATTTAGGTCTTATATTAACACCTTATAACAATTATTAACAAAAATGACTGAAAATATTGAAAGTACTTTAAATATTCAATCAACTTCCTGAAACTGGAGAGACGAATTCTTTATGAAGTAAGTAAGGGTGATAATTTTAAGACAGAATTAGATGCAATTATTAAACTTGCAAGACCAAAATATGTTGATGTAAAAAAATTAATTAAATAAATAATGATCTATGCAATTTAAAATGTCATAGTAGCACTAGTTGTTGCAATAAATAAAAGTTTTTAATTCTTTTTGATTTCAAGTATAAGATCCACTAGTAGTAGCTAGTATTGCAATTAGTTTATTTGTTACTAGGTAATAATTTTAATATGAATAATTATTCACTGACGACTTATATTTTTGTTTTCTCAAAAATTCTTAAAATGGGTTAGGCAACTACGAGTTTTACCGATAACATATATATATATATAATTCTACAGCTAAATTTTTCTTCTTTTACTATTTAATGTTTTCTCAACATCAGCAGTGAATATCAAAGTCACATAATTGTAATATATAGTAATACATAGTAATTTATTGCGAGCATGGTACCTTAGCAAGTACTTATTTCTTGCTAGTGGTTTTTTTAGCTTTGGCAAGACCTGTACGCACCCGTTTTCTATGATTTTCTCAAAGTTATACAGTTATAATATCTTTTACCTAAAGATTAGCTTGACTAATGGAAGCACGGCTGCATTAATTTGAAAGGGATGACGAAGCTTGTCCAAACATCCAATTTTCAATCCAGTTACTTCTAAAAGATTTCATGGCGACGTATAAAACATCAAAATGAATTCAGTAGAAGTTTCAGATAAGTGGATTGAAATTTTGATTTTTGGGCTGGTTGTCATTCCATTAAATAGATCGCTCGGTAATCTTTGGCTCATAAATGAAAACATAGCGTACGTCTGGTCGTTAACCCCGCAGCGCACACATTTCAACTGCGCTCAACCCTTCTTCCAACATTCAAGTATGAGAGATACTTCTATTTAAAGATTCTCCCGCAATATCGTCCGTACACACTCTCTCTCCCTTGCTTTGATTTTCTAGCGCTCTACTAACACTTGGTCTACATGTAAATACGTTTTTACCTTTTGTTCTATCGTTTGGTTTCTTTCTACTCTCAAATGACGAAGATTTGTTCTAAATATTTTAATGATTTTACGTCGACTTTAGTAAGATATGTCATGATGTTCGTAGCTTCGCTCATAAATATTTTTCTTTTTTTATGCGTGCTTACTACACTCGCTGAAACGATTTTACCACGGAGCGTGAGGCAAGTAATTCTTACGGGATAAACGATTTTTTTCTTTTATTGATTAATGGCCTATTATTGAGTAAGTGTATTGGCGTTTCATATGCAACAACAATCACGCGAATGAATCAAAATAACAGTTTTATTCTTATAAATTTTTTCATCAACATGAGCAGCTCTCTAGTTAGATCCCTACATTTAGTGGCTTTCGCTTCGTTCCCGGAACACTGACGAGTTGAGGGCAGACAGAAATGCCTCGACGCGCACATATTTGAGCGCAATAGAACTTCACGCGACTGCATCGCAGACTCTCTGCTAGCGAGACTTGCTCTCCGCGCGCGCAACAAAATGGGAGAAACTGAAAAGCTCGTATCTCTCACATGTAGGTATATGCCGCCAACAGCAGCAGGCGAAGTTAGCGAGAAAATCGATCCTGCTCTTCACGTACTTCGCCATTACCCTCCTGCAAAAGTCAGCTTGCGCGTTTCACGCGTTCAAAACTTCATGCTTCTATTGACATTCTCACTTAAAGACTTTTTTTACTCGACTCGTAAAAAAATTGGAATATCTTAATTTTTTCATTTCGTCGTACTTAATTGATATTAGATATAAGAATATCTAACGAACCGACAGGGGCAAGGAAGCGCCCAGGTATACATGCAAGGTCATTAAACCCTGCTTCAGCTATATTGTTGACGTCATTGCAGAGTTCTAGCTGTTATTAAATATATTACAAAGCATGTACAGGACATTGCTACGCGAGAGCCACACTTTTGTGTATTTACGAATGTACCTGCCTACTCTTCGATGTGGAACAAAAACGAATGACTAAGAGTTTCTTTAAACTTAAGTACTTCTTTTCCTCATGTTAATGATAATTTTTGTTGAAAAATTTTTTATTACATTCTCATTCGAGTCGCGTTGTTGTGTTGTTATATTGCCAAACCAGAGAACTATTTTCTGTAGATGAAATGATCTTAAACTTTGAGTCAATTTTTTCAGAAAATAAAGAAACAACTTATTGTGTTCCCTCTCACATTTTCGCGCGTTGATTTAATTTTTCAAGTTTGCGAACAAATGCATAATCGTCCAACGAGCTTCTAAAATTTTAGTGAAAAACGAACCGTTAGTTGCTCAATGTTCAGGATATACTGGATCGTTGGAAGCATCGACGGTGGTATGCACATGTTGAAAAAATTGCGCATAATTTAGTGTCATTGAAATGAAAATTATTTTATGGACTTACCGGGACAGCCGGGATTCAGGTCTGCGACGAGGCAGCCCGGCTAAAACGGCGGCAATCAGTCTGAACTGGATACTTTGATCGTCATCGCTGATGGTCGGTTATTGTTACTTTTTTCTAATCCTACATCGATCACGGTCGACTCAAGAATTTCCAGTGAGTCATTGCTTATTTAAAGGAACAGCGTTCTGAGCTTGAGTCGATTTTTATCTATCTGTGCGCATAGCTTCTGCACCAACCACACCCGTGTTACTGATACGTCAGCTGCTACTACACTCTTCTCAGCTCTCGCTTAGGCATTATAGGTATACGAAGTTGTATGTTCTCCCTAGGTGAACTACGAGCGCCGAGTGCTTTTGTTCCTGCTGCTGGAAAGAGAGAGAGAGAGAGAGAGAGAGAGAGAGACAGACGCACTCGGCGCAAGCGCTCAAAACACGTACTCCTTTGTACATTAAACATGATTTTTCATCCCCCGCAAGCGCAGTGTGTATAATATACGGAGCGAAGATGAAAGAGACAGCTGGGTTTTTGATTTTTAAACTCTGATTGGCTTATATTTCGAGAAAATTGAAAAATACCTAGGAAAGTATTTGGTTCTGTCGTAAAAACTCTACGGACAACAAGACTACCATGAGGTTTTTAATAAAGATATTATTTAAAAATATGAAAAAAAGGGTTTAAAATTTTGAATTTTCCCACTAGCTTCGACCTATCTTCGACTCCTAAATCATCTCGTCAAAAACAAACGAATATAGACGATTATTTTTATAAAATAGTATGACTATTAATAGCATAATTTTTTCTATCTGCAATATACATATGTAACTGAAAGAAATGAAAATTTTGAACGATGTACATGATAAGTTACTCTTTGTCTGGCGTTACATTGTACTTCGTTTTAACCCTTCATAGAATCTCACTTTAACTACACGCTAAAACAATCAAATCTATTTGCTCTTTTATATCTATCCTCACGCGTGTGCATCATCGTATGACCTAAACATTTGTCGGGTTCTGATTATCACAAAACGTATAAAACTTGAAGAAAAATTCTTCATTCTGACAATAAGTAAATTTTTTTACGAAAATTACCAGCGATGATTTTCGCGATAGAAGTTTAGATCGAACTTAAATAGATTTCAACTCTAACATTTCTCTCTATTACAGCAAGCTCGGAAAAAGGTTATTTTTGGCTATTTTCTGCCTTTTTACTTTTTTGCACGTTTTTCGATACTTTACAATTATGCCTGTCCACAAAAAAATAAAACCATTACAAAAGTTTAGGAGTTGTTAGTTGTCATTCTAAAAGAACTCTGTGAATTGTGTGGAAATAAAAGTCTAGTCATATTGTCTAGTCATAATTAATAAGATTTGGTTTTTTTTCATGCTACGAATAGTTGCAATCAATTATAGTACTCGATCGGATCAAATTTTAATATATTTTTTAGAGTTTGAACAGTTTTCAGTGCAGAAACTTTGTAACAATTTTTTCTTAAACTCACTATACTAAACTAGGAATTCATGAAATATTCAAAATAAGTATGAATTTCTATCGAAAGTTCTATCGAAATATTGGGACATTCCTGACGTATCGAATAGTATGTTCATCATGTCAGGTACCCGAAAATGGCTCTTTGGGACATGTACGGGATTCTCACTTTATTATAATAGGATTGATACTATTTTCAAGAGGATGCTCTATTACAATAAATTTACAGATATTTTTTATTTAATTTAGCGATAAAATGCTGCAAGGGTGCACAAGAAAACTTGCACGTGCAATGCGTGATGAGTCATCGAAAGGTTGACCCACACCTCTCCCTTGAAAACAATTGACTTCCACGAAATTATCAATATTTATACTCAAATGTAATATCTGACTTAAACTTGATGTTATAATTATGGAAAATACAGTGTTAAAATCGAAATGATTCGTGTATATATTATTTATAAAAATTACACGCGGGTGTGAATTAATTTATGCCAGTTAAACGCTAAGATGCTCTATGGCACTGAGTCAGAAACCAACTTATTCTCTTCCTTACATTTTGCAACGTAAATAGATTGTGTGATGGGAATTTCAATGAAAAATGCAACCATACATCTTATTATCATGGTAAAAATGAGCTCGCAATAAGGTTGACTTTGCCGGTGCCAACATCGTATACAATGAAAAAAAAATTAAGTTTAAGACCACATTAGAATCATTAAAAATATTCAATAAATTAGATACAAAACTCCAAGAATTCTTTGATTGTGAAAAGAAATGGTACGCATAAGAGCGTTGATAAGTCAAATGTATATTATATGCGTAACTCCAAATGTACGATCTGTAGCAAACGTATAGCCGATTACGAGTTAAAAAATATTTCCAAGAGATCAATCTATCAATTCTTTTTATATATATTTAAAAAAATAAAGTTTCTTTTCTATATAATTTAGGAAATAAAATATTACGGTGGAGCACACTTATATTATATCGGTTATGTACTTACGCGTACTCACTGAGATTTAAAAATCATGGTTGCGTATTCCGTGGATGCACACAGCGCAATCGATCATTTTTCGAAACGAGCTTCGCGATAGTTGAATTAATGTAAAATTTTGTGGTCGGTACATGTACAACGGTGCGTTGGACTCGACTGCACGTGTCGGACTGAGGTATATCGTCAGTCGTGCGTCTGTTTGTTTCTCTTTCTCTCTCTTATTCGCGTATTCTACTACCACATACAACAGCTGTACGCTTGCAATTTCTCTCTTGCATTATACCTACATCTTTGTATGAAGGATCCTTTTTTCGATTGTTGTACTCTTTCAAAGTCTCGGTGGACAGAGGAAACATCTGCCTTTGAACAGTACAGGTGATGGCGAAAAGTAAAGCTTTTCGTTTTTTACTGAGGTGCATGGAAGAACTGAAAAACGCATAAACATCTAATCTTCGCAATCATCCGAAAATATAATAAGTAAGTCGAACATATTTCAACGAGTAAAAGGAAATATCTTTGTAAAACTTTTTACATATATTTTATTGGCGTACAACTTTTTAAAAATCTATCATTTTGTGATTGTATTTTCGAATTGCTTATACTTTGAAGAATCGTCTTTCGAAAATTGGTAAAGAAATTTGAATTTGAAGTCTTTCGAAAACTTTGAACCCGTTTTCCTCGACTTGATGTTTTTCTAACTGGCTGCCATGATTCAGAATAACATATTGAACCGATCCTTTTGAAATGTTTACAGTTTATTTTTGGCCTACGTGTAGCTATCGTTGAAATCTCTAATATTTAAAACATTTTTTTAGAAGTTTCAACGATAGCCAATACCTTTACGAACAACACCGTTAATTTTTTTCTTTAGTTAAATCTTTCGATCTGAATCATGGTGTCCAGCAGAGACCCTTTTTTACGTGCTTCAATAATTATTTTATTTAACCTCAGACGACTGATTGTTTTAAAAATCATCTATCCTTCGAAATAAATTCACAAAAATCGCATTATTTTATAAAGCATGTAAACCGAAATCCCCCGTCTTGTTTACTACAATTATTTTCTTGAAATAAAAAAATCGACAAAATATTTTCGGAGTTGTGAACGATTTTTGGGTAAATAATGCCGACATTTTGTTATTTTTGAACCAAAGTTTTTCTAATCAAAGTTGTTCTAGTTCAGTTCAGGGACATTGTGATACTTGTTAAAACCCAGTAATTTTTTTCAGGATTCGCTGAAGACCGTTATCGTGACATGCCATGATTTCTTTTTTAAAACATTTGTAGCAGACTATACTGGCTCTCGAAATTATTTTTTTTTTTAAATTTTTATGCAGTATAAGGCCCATTAAAAATAAGTATCATTGTAAGCGTCACTTATTAATGAATCTTTGAAATATATGTTGCAGGTATCCAGCATCAGTTTTCGTGGGGGATACCTTTTGCTATTCTTCCGGCATGACATTTGTAGTGGTCGGTATTATCGGACATTTCAGCAAAACGATGCTATTATTCTTCATGCCTCAGATATTCAATTTTCTATATAGTGTACCACAACTCTTTCATTTAATTCCTTGTCCACGCCATCGACTTCCCAAGTAAGTTTATTTTCTTTAGATTTCGTACGTGTTACAATCAATGATGTATTGCATATAATTAACTGATTTTTTATTTATAAATTTTAAAACTCTTTTGTTTCATAGATATGACGAAAAAACAGATATTTCAAAGCCAAGTGTCATAGTGTTTGATAAAAAAGAGTTGAACCGTTTAGCACGCTTTATAATGTCGATATTTCGATGTTTTCGTGTAGTAGACTGGAAAGAAAGCGACGATGGAATCGTCGTTTGTAATAATTTAACATTGAATAATTTTGTACTTATATTTTTTGGACCGATCAGAGAACCTAGTTTGACAAATATTATGCTTTTGATTCAGGTATGATATAACTTCTATTAAAGTATATCCTAAAGTGGTATGAAACTTTCTTACATTTTTTTTAAATTTCAGGTAATATGTTCAGTATTCGCCTTTATAATTAGGTATCCTCTTGCATCTGTTTTTTATGATACTTAAAAAATTGTTAAAAAGTGTCAACGAAAAGGAAATATTTCTATAATCGGTGCTAGACAAAGAATTTTTGTGATGTTGGAATATTAAATAAAAATAAGTATAACTATTTTTCAGACTAGTGCAGGAAATATACACACTATATTTCTTACAAAATTCATAAATATGATCGTTTATAACACATCTGTACAAAGCACCTGTATGAGGTGCATTTTTTCATAAATAACAATAAATTATAAGAATTTTTAATTCAATAAAGTGTCATATACAATTATTATTCAAATCAAACTTTTCAGAACGAATCATAAGATAAAAAACTGCTTATAAAAGGTCACAATTATACCACAATTGGGACTTTTCAAAACTTATTTTTCCAATAATTCTCTGTCTAACTATCAAAAATCGACATGCTGGGTCAGCTAAAAGTTCACGAATGTTGAAAATATTGTTTTCATCACGCCGTGCGGAAAATTCTTAAAAGTGACTTCCTGCACTCGATGAGGAAAAATGCTATACGTAACTGAGGCGGTTGTCAATCTTGCACTTGTGTCAATGCCACCCTTGCTACGCTCGGGTTGCAAACTGACACTCTTGCAAGATAGACAACCTCCCGTCTCAGTTACGTAATGTAATTTGTCAATTGCTTCATGGGTTGGAAATGGACCATTCCTTGTTTCATTATATATTTGTGACAAATCCAACAAATGCATCACATGTTCAATATAAAAATAAACTTTATAACTTTTATACAAAAAAAACTTTATAGTCATTGAAATTTACTATTTAGTTTTTTCACTGTTATAAATTTTTATAGAACATGCAGAACGTAAGAGAAAAGAATACTGCGAGTAATCTAATTATTTTTTGGGTTAAAAATTATAATCTTTTATGATTCGTTCGAATTATAATACGATTTTCCAGTTAAAGTTCATAATAAATGCAAAGTATTTAAGCATCTTTGTACACGTTAAATTTTGTCTATTGTTAGTGATGCAAATATCAATATCACAATCATACACACAATCATACTCTTTGATTGAAAATCGTACTTATTCTTCTTGCAATTTAAGTTAATTTACAAATAGTTGTTAAATAATTTAACAGTGCTGAAGAGATCTAATAATATCTTCTCCTAATCTATCAGACACAACTATTTGAGCTTTTGCAGCATCACGAAGACTGAAAATATGTGTGAGCTCCAAAAATGTTCGAGCCAAAGCCAGTGCTTTATCAAACAAAGAAATAGCCTCACTCAAGTTTCCTCTGTAAAATTATCATCATAAGAAATTTTGTTTGTTTTAAATGATTCTATAAAACATCAATATTATTACCTTTGAACTTCAACAGTGCCTAATGTTTCATACGCAAATTCACATTTTTCATCTAATTCAATAGCTTTTTGCATATATTCAACAGCTTTTTCAATGTCATTACTTGATTGCAATTGCAGCAATCCTCTGTAAACAAGAATTGTTGCATTTTCTGGATCTCGTTTAGCTGCTTTAACGAAGTAAGCATCAGCTTTAGTCAAGTCTCTATGGTCAACTAACATCTGAACAAATTTTTAATTTTAGTAGCGTTCTATACATTTTTAATGTGTAAAAATAAGTTGTAATTTAATCTCACCTGAGCATATAATGTATAACACTCAGCACAGTCTGGAAATTTCTCAAATGCTTTTTGGAAATTTGTCATGGCAGAATTGACCAAGTTCATATCATTTTTAGATACACCATAACGGTAATCAGCATAACATTTTTGAACATAAGGTACCCCGAAATTTGGATTCAAGTCTACAGCTTTTTGAAAATCAGCTTTAGCTTCGTCAACTTTTTCCATAAGCAGATGAACCTTTAAATGTAGAAAAAATAAGCAGTGAATAATTATGCAAACTTCTTCATAAAATGCAAAAAATTTTCCATTTACCTGACCACGATTATGGTAGATGTCACCCAAATTTGGATCAATGTTTTCAGCAAGTTGAAAATCATCAAAACTTTTCTCAGGATCTTCGAGTTGAACATGCATACTTGCTCTTTTAATGAGAGCATTAACTTTCAAATCATTTGAAGATATGTCACTATTAACTACTGCATTAAGGTCTTTAGATGCTTCTTCATGAAGACCCATCAATAAGTAAAATGTACCTCTCAGCAAAATAACTTTCATTTTGTGTAGTGAATTGTCATCTGCTGCAAGAGTATTTAACTCCTCATTGCAAAGTGGTATTATGTCATCATATTGTTGCATCCGCAGTGCTTCTAAAGCCTTATGGTATGACCTACGGAACATAATTTACATAACCAATTATAATTAGATATAATTAACATTAACAAACATAGTATCTAAAAACTATTTTAAATTTTATTCGATTTACGTTTTGGTTTCTTCATTCACTTCTTCCTTTGCAAAAGGATCATTTTGGAAAGTCATAAAATATGTATTAATAAAATGTTTACTGGGCATAATTGGAACTTTTGTTTTCATATACTCCTGCGCATGATGTTTTCCTAGAAAAGTAGTAAAAAAAGTAATAAAAGGCATAAAATTATTATTTTGTCACTAAGTACTTTTAATTATAACTGGCATTACCTAATTGTTTGAGTATTTTATCTGCTGTCAATAAAGTACTCTGGTTCTGAAATCTTTCTAATATACAAGCAGCTGTTATGTCTTCCAAAGCCGTTTCTAAATCATTACTTGATTCCATAGCTCTTGCTCTACGAATAAGTGCCTTTACATATTGAGGTTTTAATTTTAATGCTGTTGTGCAGTCAGCCTTAACAGCGCTTAGTTTTTTCTATAACAAAGAAATATTATAATATATATAAAAAATGATGATTTTCAAATTACAGAAAAATTATTACAAACCAATTTTTCATATGCAGCTGCTCTGTTTTGGTAAAATGTTGCAAGGATATCAGGACTGTCTTGAGGGCATACTTCAATTGCTAAATTATATTGGGCAATAGCCTCGTCAAATTTTCCAGAATTGAAAAATTTGTTACCTTCATCTTTGTAATGTATAGCTTTCTCCAAGGGGCTTTGCTATTAACAAATACATAAAATATTATATATTAGGGTTTTTTGAAATTATCTTTAAATCACAGCTAAAAATAATTAAATCAAGTTGATTCATACTCATTTGATTATACTGTCAAAATGAGGAATTAGTAATTAGTAATTAAAATTAGTAACAATTATTAAATGCACTGATAACTAAAAGCATTCATACGATAAATCAAAACGGTTAAGAAAAACCGATTCTTAATAATGTCATTCATGAAAAAGCAAAATACTACTTTATTTAAAGTGAATGACAATTTCTGAGAGTTAATTATTCAATTGAACTAACCTCTTTTTTGATGCTAGCATTGCCGGTTTTTCCTGTAGCGTCGCCGTCAATGGATATCTGTTTTTCACCATTCTCTTTGACCAGACGATTATGTTTCTTCGATGTTTTATCATCATTGGGGTTACAATTACGATAATACATGTAACCAAGGCCAAGTGCCACCGGTGCACCAACGGCTAATGCCAATTGCCATTTGGGCAACGAACTTGATGCACCACTCGAATCCATAATTTGAAAAGTTGTTGTAACAAATGAAGTTAATTTATAACAATGAGCAGTATGATTGATCGAGGTTGTCAATGAAGAAGATGTGCAAGAAACGAAGAGAGCTAGTGTGAGTAAGAGTGTATAGGCACGTGTGAATTGCGAAAGGTACAACCGATAAAGTCTGCAAACTGCGAACTTCTGTGAAGTGCAGAATACAATACTATCTCCTCATGAGTTTATGACTCACACTGTACTCTGTCAGCATTAAATTAGGCTTAGTCTACAATACATTCGATACCTAACTTAGGTTATTTGATATAAATCGAACATCTACTTGTATTCATTGATATTTTGACAATACATTTTATAGGTCTTGAATTTTCATTATATTATTCATTTTAATAGTTTTTTTTTTAGTTTTAATTTTCGTTTTTTTTTCTAGTAATTGTGGTATTTAAAATATCAGTAAGCTATTAATTATAATACTTGTAAAATATTTTTATGAAAATTTAATTATGTTTATTATACTTTTATATAATTGTAGTGACAAAAAAATAAATGAAAGCAGATATCAGTCTAAATAATTTATTATTAAAAACTTATAATTATACATTCTGTACATTTTGATATTTTTAATAAAACTTTTTGTGATATCAAAAATATAACACTATCACATTTAAGGTATATCAAGAATATCTTTTTTCGTTTACAAGTAAATTACATTTGTCCACACTGAGAAATAGTAACTGGCATTTTGGGTTTATTATTTGGACCCGTAGGGACATTTTCAATTTTCCTTATCACTAACAGTCCATCAATAACCTTTCCAAACACAACATGCTTTCCATCAAGAAAATTACATTTAGCACAAGTAATGAAGAATTGACATCCATTTGTATCTTTTCCACTATTGGCCATTGAAAGTAATCCAACTGAATCATGCTTCAATGTAAAATTTTCATCGGCAAATGTACCACCATAAATACTTGTCATTCCTGTTCCATCTCCATTCACAAAATCTCCACTCTGGATCATGAAATCCTTGATTACTCTATGAAAAGTAGCACCTTTGTAACCAATAGCAACACCATCTTTTCTATGCTCTCCTGTGCAAAATTGGCGAAAGTTCTCCGATGTTTTTGGGCACACATCTTCAAAAAGTTCAAAAATAATTCGACCAATTTCGGTTGAACCTACAGAGATGTCGAAAAAAACGACAGGATTGTTCGGATTGCGAAGTTGCGATTGAATTTGACTCCAAGATGGCATTTTAGTGAATGTTAAAAAATACAAGTGATATTATCGATTACGATATAGTATCGAAATACGATTTGTACACAATTAAACCTTGAAGTTCAGATTGAGATGTTTAAATTATTTAACATAACCTAAATCCTCTGGTGTGATACTGGAAGGCTGAGACCGGACTGACGGGCAGACTCTGGAGTCTGAACTCTATAGAGACTGTCGTGTGAGTCGTGATACTCGTGAAGTCGTGTTGCATACATAATGCGCATATCAAGAAAATTAATATCAAAAAACTAATATCTATAAAAAAGTTTGATTTTTAATATTTATTTTATACATTCGATGAAAGTTTTTTTTCGCGTCTTCATTTTATACATGTTGGTCCTTAAAAATGTTTTATTTATTCTCAATTTCGCGATCTAACTCTGAGTTTCAAGATAGCGAAATTTTAAATGTATTTGCTCATTTTTCACAAAAAATCTGCTTATTAAGCTGTAATTCTTTAAATAGGAATCAGTCGAGTGTCTCTGTTTTTCACAGATTTGTAATTTTTTGATAAGTTTTAAACTTAATTTTTATTTCAAAGTTTATCAAGTAATAATTTCAACTAGCACGGCTATATCTTGGAAAATGATGCACTAAAAATTGTTTAAAAAATTCTAAAGGTTTCGCGAAAACTAACTTTTAATTGTGTACCCGTTTTTCACTCAGGTATGGAAAATAACTTATGAAGTTGAAAAAAATTAAAAATAAATAGCGATACTTTTTGATTTAAATATGTGATTATAAACGCTCGAAGCAGCGTAGAAAAAATGTTGTAAATCCCATTAGTCGCATAAGGTAAAATATATAAAAAATTCAATACTAGCTGCGTTTTCCCTGCATTCGCGCAAAAATTCGGATTGTTTATATGTAATCTCTAGCGACAGTTATACATCTCTTGATTTTCAAGAAATCGAGGTAGTTCTGGAGCTGAAAGAATTCTCCAAAAATCAGAAGAGCGAACTGAAACTACGATCGCTTTATGAGGGATATCCAAATTTATAGCGCTAGTTCAAAGTCACACACGTTTTAAACACGAATGACTGCGGAAAAAAGCTTTAGAAAATTTTATTATAAACCTGTAAAAACAAATTGTATACATAAATCTTAGCTGCGTGACTCTTAATGTGTGCCCTTCTAATAAATAAATACTTAATATATATATTTAATAAATGAACATTGTTTTTAACTCGGTATTGTTATTATTATTATTACTACTATTATTTTTGTTGTTGTTGTTGTTGTTGTTGTTGTTGTTGTTTTTGTTATTGTTGTTATTGTGTCATTGGTTATACTGAGCCCCATTAGTTTTGTATTGAAAATTTTGAGTTCTCTCACTGACCCACTGGTGTCGCTCGTCTCAAAAATCTCTAGTTATTCGCTTCATTCTAGTCGAGTAGTGCGATAAAAAAAATGGCAGCTACCACTAGTACAGCTGTCATCATATAGCAGCAGGCGCGGCGTAATGTGCGATATATTACATCTTGTTTTCCTACTGCTGTTGATAGAAGAAAGTATTCGAGAATGAACAGAAGTATTTAGGCTTTGATAGATAAGAAATTTTACGTACGGTCGGCTGGTTTACGATGACGTCGCTCAGTTTATTTGATTATCTTCAATGTTGAACATTTTCAAACAGCTGACGGTCCATCGCAAATCTAAGAAATTTATTGTGAATGCGACATGGCTGTCGACGATAACGACAGTACTTGGTAAAAATATTGTTTTTTTGTTTTGTTTATAAGTGTGAATTTTATTTTTGACTTTGCTTCCATTAACAAATAAGTTAACAAATTAGCGTCAATAGTTTACTAATAGTGTGCTGCTTCGTAGTGTAAATAGTGAAATACGTGCTATTTAACTTCAGAGTAAAACATTTCATCGCAACAAACGTCAATAAATTAAACTTGTTTTTTTTTTCATTATTGTTTGAATTGGAGACAATATATATTAGTTTCGATTTTTACACCAAAATGAGTTGTCTGAAGTAGAAAGATTCTTTTGATTAAAAAATTTCCACAGGTTACTGGAACTAGAAACAGCTCTATTAGATACAGAAGTACCTTCTGCATCTGACATTTATGCCATTTGTAAAGGTCAACCAGTACCAACGAAATTAAGACCAGATGTATGGCAAGCATGTTTGGATGTTACAGACCGTGGTAATCAAATGATTCATTTCAATGAAGTATACGACCTACCAGAGCAAAGTATCATAAGAGAAGACTGTCAACAATTAGTTAGTATGTAATTTTGCATAGTTTTTTACGTTATCCAAACAATCTCTGTAAACAGAAAAAATATTCATTTTACAATATTAAGATTATTTGAAAAATTGTAATTAGTCTATGAGCACTTTATTTTAGAAGAAATATTTTAATGATGTTATATCTTAAAATTTTGAAACGGACTGTATCTACATTATAAACTACAAAAATAATATCTTATCTACACCGGATAAGGCCCTATTAAAATGTTTCAACAATTTTTTAGCTTTGTTTCTCATTCTATATTATTAATTTGCAGATAAACTTGGTAACGATGATGAAGATAAAGTATCTGTTCTTTCTGACTTAGAATCCATCGTAACTTTTTATTGTAAAAGTAGAGGTAAAAAGTATGAAAAAGGAAATGGTTGGCTTGAATTACTAGGACCATTGATTGCATTGAAATTACCTCGCTCAGCAACATATAATTTATTTGAAGCTATAAGAGATATTTATATTCCAAAGTAAAAATTCTGATGCCTTAAATTTTAAATTTATTAAAAGGAAAATTATAACCATTTGTAAAAATCTATTTATTCTAGAGGAGAAATTCACAGTGCTGTTCTGAGGTTATTGCTACTTTACCATGAACCTGAACTATGTTCTTTCTTGGATACAAAAAGAGTATCTCCAGATTTATATACAAAAGGATGGATTAATACACTTTTTGCTGGTGTATGTTCATTGCCTGCAATTTCCACTATGTGGGATTTATATTTTATGCAAGCAGATCCATTTTTCATGATGTTTTTATCTCTTATTATGGTAATAAATGCAAGGTAAATTTATTTTTACTTCAAAAGAATACCATTTTATTCTGAAAAGTATTTCATTAAAACTTTAATCAGGGAGCAAATTTTAAGTATGAAAGATGATGATAAACAAAGCATTGTGAATACTTTATGTGCTATGCCATGTGCCTTGGAAGCTGAAGATGTATCAGACTTTTGCTCATTAGCTCAATTCTATGCCATGAAAACGCCTTCTTCCTTTAAAATTGACCTATACAGTATAATGTTTGGTGAAGGTGGTGATGAAAAACTTATAACTCATGCTCTATGCCTACCAGTTTCTGCCCAAGAATTAGCAGATAATTCAGTAGAGCCTTCTTCTACATCCAATAGCTTAATTGAGTCTGTCAGATTTTTCTTAGTAGACTGTAGACCTGCTGAGCAGTACAATGCTGGCCATTTACCAACAGCTTTTCATTTGGATTGTAATTTAGTGAGTAACTTGAAAATTTTCTACGTATTTTATTTATAAAATACTAATTACTTTTTTAATTTTAATAATTCTAAGATGCTACAAGAACCTGCTGCATTTTCAACAGCAGTACAAGGTTTACTGCAAGCACAACGTCAAGCTTTAGCAGTTGGATCACATGCTGGTGGTGAACATTTGTGTTTCCTTGGCAGTGGACGACAAGAAGAAGATAGATATACTCACATGGTTGTTGCATCATTTTTACAAAAGCATACTCATTATGTCAGCATGGTTGTTAATGGTTATCAAGGTAGTAAATTTGATTTATTTGTATAGTTCACTTATTCCCTTGATATTTATAAAATTATTTTTCTTACTAATTCTAGCAATACATGATTATTTTGGTGATGAAGTAATTTCAAGTCTTGTAGACCATAATTCACAGTATTGCCTTGTATGTAATGCCAATTTTTCTGATGAAACTTCTGGTGAAGCCAGTCCAGGACGCTCAAAAAATAATTCTGATTTATTTGGGAAAATTGGACAAGTTGTAAGATCAAAAAGTCAAGACTTAAAAGGCAAACTATTTGATTATATTGTCAATCCATCTGCAAGTAACATTAATAGTGTCGCTAAAAAAAGTGATAAAGAAGGTGGAAAAAATAAAAAAGAGCGAAGTACTCACCCAGTTTTCAGTATTGATGATGATCACGATGCTGGTTAGCAATTAAAAATTTACTAAGAATGCTATAATAATATAAATAAGAATAAATTATACAATAGCTAAAATTTTTTATACAGATCTGACCCTGACAGCTACACCTGACAGTGAATTAGCGATTGAAGTTGTTTCCCTTCAGCAGTGGCTAAAAGATCCAAATTTAGTACATTCCTTCAAATGTATGGAAGTAAAAGTAAATGGATATATTTATGAAAGGTAATTACTCTCATTTGATTATTATACAATTAAATCAATTTTCTGTATCATTGACTGTTTTATTTTAGTCACCTTCTGGTAACTGATACACATTTAATCGTACTTCGCGAAATTCCTGGTCGCAAGGGAGCAGCCCATGTAATTGTTAAACGTCCTTTATCCAGTATTGTACGAATAACGTCCAGAAAAAAACATCCAGATTTAATTACGTTTAAATATGGATCGACCCAGTCTGATAGTCTAATTATTTCAGATATGGATAGATTTTATATATCAAATTATAGCGAAGCTACAAGAATAATTTCTCAACAAATCATGAAGCAACTAAGTACATCCGAAGATAATGTTTGTTAAACTAATGTAAATACAAAATATATAAACAAATTTGATCAAGCTTAAGACAAAATATTAATAGAAATGATTGATGATATGAAATGAAATATTAATAGAAATGATCAGAATTTTTTTATGTAAGTGCATTTCATTCATGATCTCTTTGCTTCACGAGACTGAGAAGTATTTTTGAAATGATAAAAATTGAATGCATCAACTTGCACTAGTTACTTCCAATTTCAAAATGTTATGAACAACAAGAATTATATGTCCAATAAACATTTAATAATAATTTCTGAATAATATTTTGAAAAAAAAGTTCATTATTTGAACTTTACTTTATAAAACACTTTTATTAACAATTTTTGATTTGTAAAATTACATTTGCGTTGTGTTAACTTAATAAATTAATTTATCAATGGAAAATTAATCAATAATCAATTATTTTTTAAAGTTAATTTATTCTAAGACGAATTTCATTAATAATATAAATAGATTTTACCTGATCTTTCTAAGAAAATAAATTTTTGATTAATGTTGTTTTATTATAATTATTCTTTACTTGTAAATTCATGTTATTTGTTGAATAAATTTATAAAAAAGCTATAAGCAAAAGTATGTATAGTCTTTCATTGGCCAGTTACACTGATGAGAAAATAATTTAAAAGTATGTTATTTTCTTTAAATAATTTGATTTTTTAATGCTTTCTTTTTGTTAAGCTTGGTAGAAAATATTTATGATGGTTTAAAATTATATATTTCAAAGACTAATCAAAATAATTATTTAAATGTACTTTTATTTAACGTCATACGGAAGCCCAGGTTAAAATAAAAGTATTCAAGTATGTTTCTTGAGATTTCTACTTGATATTTTTCTAAAGTTTACAGAACAACGAAACATTGATATTCATGCATATAAATATTGAGGAAGATCTCGGAAAACTTGCGTATGAAAATTTTCATTTTCACCGCAGCTTCGGTCTCTCTGTAACTATGAATTTCCTCATAATTCATTTATCATCATATTATTGCTGCATTGTATTCCGCGATGTTATTTTGAGTAATATAATAAGAACGCGTCAAGCGCTGGAAAATCGATGTTTGCGTCGAGCGCGTTGAATTAGTCGTCCGTGGACTGTGATGCCGGGCATGCAAGCGTATGTTATACGGCTGGGTTGAAAAGAATATAAAAGATGATGATTATTGAAAGAAAAATTACTGACAGGTGATTTTAAGCGCAGCAGCATGAGTGGAACAGGTGTCAAGTTCGTCCAGTTATTCCCAAGCAAATGTAGCGCTGTTATTTTTGCTCTTTACATAGCTCTCTTCGTCAATCAAGGTAGGTAATCAAATTTATGCGATTTTCGTCCAAGGTTAGAATGTTATGTAGTAATTTTCAATTTTTCCATTGTATAAGTCGGTTTTGCTTTGATGGTCAACTTTATTACGCATAATTGCACGACCATTTTTGCTGGTAATAATTTATTTTTATTTGCTGTAGTGAATTTGAAGATTGAATTCAAATGAAGAAAAATTTCTTATCTAATCTGTAGTGCAACATACTAATATTTAAGTGCCAGTAACGTTAAGCAGAAGTATAGATATCGTGTCAACAGTATAAAAATAATTTACACTTTTTTTTATTTTAGGTATTATTATAAAATGGTCTCAAGAAGGAGGTGAATATGATTACAACATTGTTATTGTTGTTCTTATGACAGAAGTCTTGAAATTAGTCTGCTCAATAATTTTGTATTGCAAAGAGTAAGAAACAAAAAATATCAATATTTTTTCAAAAGACAATTATTTTTTATTTAAAACATAATTCTAGGAACACATTAAGCAGTTTATTTGTTGAAGTTGTGAAACATAAAAAAGGTAAATATTTTTCAAGATGAAAAATCATAAGTTATCCTATAAATATGAATTTTTTTTTATTACAGTTCTTTACTTGTACATGGTACCATCTTCGTTATATTGCCTTTATAACAACTTATCTTTTGTAAATTTAGCTGCATTTGATCCTCCAACTTATTATCTACTACTGCAATTAAGAGTTGTTATTACTGGTTTAATATTTCAGGTACATGAAAGTTAATTAATTATTTTTATATGCCATTAATTACCTTTAAAAATATATAATAACTTTTAAAAGTAATAACTTTTAAAAATATTTTTTGTAGTTGGTATTCAAAAAACAGTTATCAAGAAAACAGTGGCTATCCTTAGTCTTATTAACCATAGGGTGTATGATCAAGAACCTTAATCTAGACTCTAACCATTCCTTACCAAAAGCTAGATTCCATATAAATATAAATATTATATTCATTCTTATACAAGTAAGTAAAAATGCAGAATGAAAAGTTCAAAAATTTTAAAAATTTTAAAAACTTTAATAACTTTAATATTTTTAATTTTTTTAGACAATATGTTCATGTTTAGCTGGTGTGTACAATGAGTATTTACTAAAAAGTGAAGGATCTGGAGTAAATATTTTTGTACAGAATGTTTTCATGTATGTTGATAGTATTTTGTGCAACATCACAGTACTATTTATACAGGGAAATTTGATACAAGCTTTTGATAATGCAAGTTCTCATATTTTTATGGAACCAAAAGTTTTATTAATAATGTTTAACAATGCAGCAATAGGTATAATAACCAGTTTTTTTTTAAAAAATCTTAATTCAATAGTAAAAACATTTGCTAGTGCCTTAGAACTAATTTTTTCTGCTGTTTTATGTTGGATATTATTTGATATTCCAATACATTTAAATACTGCTATCGCCATAACTATTGTTAGCTTTGCTGTCATTATTTATTCTCGTAATCCAGTTCAAAATAATAGATTAAAGTCAGGTGATAACATAGATGATGAAGAAACTGAAAAGTTTATAGAGAAACGTGATTCACAATTTGTGTAAATATTTTTAGTAGTAAGATTTTATACCAGTAAAAATATTTATAAGATTTTATTATAATAAAAAATTGAGCATATATAATGTTAACTTTTCATTTTTTTATTTTTATTTCTATGACTAATGAAAATTGAAAACATTACGAAATATTAATAATTAACAAAAAAACCATAGCTAATTCCATCATAGCTATTACTAAATAAGTAAATACATATATTATTATTGAATGTCAGCAGTTTTTATGTTACCTTCAATTATAATGCTTGGTAACGATTGAGTTCAGTCATAATTTTACGACTTGCCGCACAATTGAAACCTAATCTGCACATAAAAAAACGATCTCAATAACATCATAAGTTATGAAGGGCTAAAATCGCTTTATAACGAGCCAAAAAATTTTCATTTAAAAAAATTATAATTAAAAAACCAAAATTTCGATTGATTTAAAAATTATGCAATGTAAAGTTTATCATTTGAGGATGTTACAGCGATTTTTCCATTTTTTTAACATCTAAAAAAAGTTGTCATCGATTCGTTATTCCACAATCAATTTGTGGTTAAAATTTCAGCCCTTATTGCCGCCCAGAATCAAAGATGTTCATTTTCAAAAATCAATATTAAGAATGAATTGGTGCCATGAAATAGCCGTTTTTGGAATCGCAGTAAAAATTTGACATTTAAAACTTTGATAAAAAAACTAATAGAAGATGTATTATATTATTCTAATTGTTGTCTCGAAAATTTGATATCATTTACCATGCATGACATTTTGTTGAGAAATGTTTATACTTGAACTTATGCTTCAAAATGTTTATTTTAGCATTTTCGGGTTATCTTAAACAGAAAAGTATCTCTTGCAGTTTTGCTCTAAAATCGATTGTTCACGAGATATAAACAATTCAAATTTAAAAAATTTCCAACCATAAATCTTTGCAATTTCTTATCTCAATAAGTATACGAAAAAGTTCAAAAGTACAAAAAAGTCTTAGAATTTGTAAAGAAAAGTGTATGAATTTTTTTAGATTTTTTCTAGGCACACTTGTGATTTTGACTATGTATACCACGCCGATATTGTAAAAAGATTTTCAGCATATAATATTGAAAATTTTCGATTTCTTAACAGTTTTTTTCAGGCGGTCTTTTTTTGCTGTAGACAGATATTTTGGTGAAAAGTCATCTCAAAAGTCGACATTTTGTCTTAAAATTTATGCCCTGGCTTGTGATTGAACGAAGGAATTGAGAAAAAAAATGAAATTTAAAGATTTGACACAAGTTTAAATGAATTTTCGACCCATATTATTCATATCCATAACAAGTACAACCAAGTACCGTCGACTAAGGGTATAAAATTCAAGAAAATGTCGACTTTTAGATTTCAGATGACTCTGTACCGAAATATCCTGCCAATCGCGAAACAAAAAATACGACGCGCAAAAAACTGGTGAGAAATTGCCAATTGCAAGCTGTAAATCTATATAAAACTTCTCGAAATGATAAACTTTACTGTATATAAATTTCAAATCAATCAAAACTTTTGATTTTTCAACTAAAACCTTTAGAAATGAAACAATGTTTTCTCGCTACCAAGCTATGTAACATAATATATAGAAGTCTATATATAATTTGTTCACTTATTATCATTGGTATCAAATAGAGAAGAAAAGCTATTATCGAATTTGTTCCTTTATTTAGTAACATATCTCAGTTAATAAGGAGGCTGTAGCGAAAATGAAAAAAACTTTAGATCGAAGTGATATTTTAACCGATGATAGTTTATGAAATTACAAAAGTTTTGTAATTACAAAAGAAAAAAAAATTTTGGGTTTCCATGCAAACTTGGGAAATAATGTGATTCAAAGTTTTGGCCATTTAACATTAGGTCTTATGGTAAATGGCAGTTTTTCGTGTACTATGAGCTCAAATCACTTTACAAATTAATAAAATTAATATACGTTATAGGAAATTTCATTAGCTTTCGAATAATATTATAAAAATCGCTGCCAATTCATTGGCAAAGTACTTCCTCATAAATTATATTAATAAAGGGTTTGGTTATTAACGGGAAAATTCGTATTTCATTTTTGAATTCCGTTTTCTTTAATGCATACGAAACTCCTAAAAAACTTAAAGATTTCTAGAATTTCGTTTATGATTACCTTACTACCGAACCTAGTTTTTATTCAATCTAGTTTACAAATATGTAAACCAAATTGTCCTACGAGGTCTGGTTCAAAATTTCGTTTTCGAGCCTATCACAGAGCTTCCTCTATGAGGAAGCAAAATGTGTTTCCAGGCAAATAATAAAACAGTTATAATTTTTTGAAAATTGTTACCGCAGCCATACCGAGTGACGCGACGCAAACGGTATGGCTTTGTGGCTCTGCAATTTCACAAAAGTGGTTGAAACGAAAAATGGGAATTTCAAATGAAGCAAAAATTTAAATTCATAAGTTTATTGAAAAAAAATATAGTGATGTTCTCATTTGAAAATGCACTAAAATAATTTGATTAAATTAAAAAATGAAAAAATTGCTTTCAAAAATAAGATTAATAATTTAGCAAATTCTCAACATCTATATCAACTTTTAGAGATAAAATTGTTGTATTTTACAGAAAAAAAGTAGTTAACAAAATGCGCCACAATGAAAAATAGTTACTTTTATTAGAATGAAGAACTGTTCATTAGTTTATAAATACCACTATTTAATTATAATTAATATTACACTTAAACATAAAATAGTGCAGCTATTTTAATCGTTTGCTTTTATTAAAGTGTAATAAATATGTGAAGTGTAAAATTAATTATAATTAATTAATGGTATTTATAAACTATGAACATTTCTTTATTCTAATAAAATTAATTATTTTTCATTGTGGCACATTTTGTTTACTACTTTTCTTCTGTAAAATAAAACAATTTTATCGCTAAAAGTTTATATAGACGTTGAGAATTTGCTAAATTATTAATCTTATTTTTGAAAGCCATTTTTTCATTTTTCAATTTTATCATATTATTTTCGTGCGTTTTTAAATGAGAGCATGGGATCCGATGTTTTACGGCGCTGATTCTAGTCTTGCTATATTTTTTCGTAAATAAACTTATGAATTTAGATTTTTGCTACATATATTTGAAATTCCTGCTTTTCGTTTCTGCCGCCACTTCTGTGAACGCTGGCGCCTGCGTGGGCTGGTCAGAAGAGCATACCTCAAACCGTGAAGAGTGGTGGTTATAAGAGAGACTGTCTTTTTTTGTGTCGATTGCAAGGCGAGCGCAAGTGTATCTTTCAGGTAAGCTTATTATTATTAAATCTAACAACATCTTGTTTCAAGAATAAATATTTCAGTCAAATTTTACAACCCGGTAAAGAGTAAGACGTTTATATATAAGATTTGACCATCATTTTTTTTGTCGACTCTTTACTCACTTGAAATCTGTGACGACCAAGCCAGCTTGTGTATTTCCCAAAGACTTATAATTGTATTTTTAATTGTTTAAATTAGCAGAATAATGGGTCGCTATTCCCATCAACCTTCCAACCACGCCAAGTCGTGCCAAGCACGAGGCTCCAATCTCAGGGTACACTTCAAGGTAATATAAATGCAATAATTTTATTCATTTTTTGGTTATGGTTTCCTCTCGTATAACGCAACAACGTGTTCATCCAGTATAACCTATTATGATAAAAAATTATGTTTTCACTCATAAATTATAAATGCTGTAGTAAATGGAACTTCCATTTTTTCAAAATGTTACTATTTAAGACATAACTTTGTACTTTTGATAAACCTAAACTTGGAAAATCCTTGAATCTCAGTAGAAATGAATTTTTTTAAATGATTGCAAGAGCGCTTTAAAATTTTCATGAATAGCAATAATTGTATAGCAAAATCACTAATTTCATTTATTGTGCAGAATACCCACGAAACATCCCGGGCTCTTAAAGGGATGCCATTGAGAAGGGCACAGCGATATCTAAAGAATGTCATTGCATTCAAAGAATGCGTACCTTTCAGGCGTTTCAATGGTGGTGTAGGCCGTTGCGCTCAAGCCAAACAATTTGGCACAACACAAGGTATCAATTCATATTATCCCAATAAGTTTAATTTAATTCGCCTCTCAAGTTACAATGTTCTTAATGTGAACTTCTTTATTTTAGGACGTTGGCCAAAAAAATCAGCAGAGTTTTTGCTGCAACTACTCAGAAACGCTGAGTCGAATGCTGATTTAAAAGGACTAGAAGTAGATAAGCTAGTCATTGAGCATATTCAGGTCAACCAAGCACCTGCTCTTCGTCGCAGAACATACCGTGCCCATGGTCGCATCAATCGTAAGTTGATATATTTATTTTAAATTGAAAATAATAATAATGATCAAACTTTTTAATGTGGTTACTTTGTTTTTAGCTTACATGAGTTCGCCATGTCACATTGAGGTTATTTTAACCGAAAAAGAAGATGTGGTTGCCAAAGCTGCAGAAGATGAGCCCACCCAAAAGAAGCTCAGTAAGAAAAAGCTTCAAAAGCAAAAAGAAAAGATGATGAGGGAATGAAGGATATTTAATGTAACTTAATAAAACAATAAAATATCCATTTTTTCTTTAAGCAACACGAAATTATTATGATCCCCACAACTATTTCAAAATATAGTATTTTATTATTGAGTATTCTGAAACACATACATAAATTTCAAGTTCATTGAAACAATTCAAGATGAGCAAGAATTAGGGATTCTTGGTCTTAACTCTATTTACAATCATTAATTTTTGGCATGAAGAATACAATTAAAAAAAAATTATTGAAAAAATTCATTGTTGATAAATTATTTTTATTTGGTTGCAATATTTTAACAAAGCTTCAATATTTTCAAAATTCAAATGCAAATATCTCTTTATTGGATAAAATGCATTTATTAATGAACAGTCTTGATAATTATTGAAAATACCACTTTTGTTCTCGTTTAATGTTATATATTAATTTTAATTTAATTTGTAACTAAAAGTTATGTCATTGAGTACCACAAACGAGGATGTTTTTACATTGAAGCAATATCATAGAATATTGAACTTGATAGAAACAAAACGAAGTCAATACATAATAAAAGTCGTACGCATAGACGTGATTTCATATCACTTGTGCGACGTAAACAACTAAACGTTTTTTTTTTTAAATATTCAACACATAGATGTATATATAAATATATATTAATCTATACAAAAATCATCTAAATTGATTTAACATAAACGACAACACAAAAATCTTTCTCAAATGAATTCTCGCCTCTGGATTTATAATACTAGTATCAATTGTTACAAAGTACTCAACATTATTTTTTCTCATTGATACATATATGTATATACATATGCATCAATACATAAGATGTATATAAATATATTTTACATTGAACAATGCTGCCGAGCGAATGTTGAAGACAATAATTTTGTTGGTTTTATACAAAAAACAATGATTATTTTAAGGCATTTCATGTGTTTATAGGGTTTTAATGATAATAAAAAAATTTGAACGATCCATTGAGGATATTATTGAGCCTGATAAGCTGGTAAATACAGCAAAAGACTTGCAGATAAGTCCGAGCGAGTTGTAAGGCTTCTTGTTGGTAGTTGACCAAACAATAGAGCTCGTCAAGAAAGTGGCTCGCGGGTAGTGTTTGGTAAGAATAGGCACAGCAGACCTCCTCCTGTTAAGAAAAAAGAAACGAGGAAACGGGTATTGAGTTGAACTGGCTGTTAAGCGAGTTACGAATGGCTTACCGATAAGCAACGCCGCGACGATGAAGGTTGGTGCTGGACAGTAGGTGTCGAGGAGCTGAGCTATGACGATGTTACCGATTATGCCACCGAGTCGAGCGGCCACCATCGATACGGCTATACCGGTAGCGCGCAAATTCGTCGGGAAGATCTCGGTGATGAGGCAGTCGAGGGCTGCGTTGCCGCAGCTGATGACACCGCTGAAGATCGCCGAGACGACAACGTTCTGGTACTTGTTGTAGACAAAGTAAAGTCCGACCGAGCATGCACCCGACGACAACGTGCTGAACACTGAAAACAAATTCGGCTCTCTCGTTCAAGTCTCGAGTGGAAAATAAAAAAAAAACAACTATTGGTAAAAGAAGCGGCCCGAGGGGACACGGTACCTAGGAAAAATTTGCGCCCGAGGCGATCCATGCCGAGCACGGCGACGATGTTGGCCGGTATGGCCGAGGCTACGGTGATGAGCGATTCCATGAAGACCGAAGGGCCGATTTTGTCGTTGCACTCGCTCTCCTTGTTGTACGAGCTCTTGCTGACGACGTAGTGCGTCACCTCGCACACGCTCGCCGATTGACCCGGCCTCTCCCGATGGAACTCGTCGAATCGGTTGAACAGCTCGGGGAACCACATCATCAGGCCGTAATAGCCGATGTGGAAGGTGAAATTTATTATTATGGAGATGACGGTGAAGCGCAAGATTGGTGAGACGAATAACTGACGGCTGTTGTCCATTATGTCGCCGAACATCACCCTGTACTTGTTCTTCTTCTTTTCCGGCTCGGCCAAGCCGTTAATCACGTCGCTCGACCTGGTTTTCACTGGCTCCGAGGATGCAGTAGCCGACACATCGTCGAGGATCAGTTCTTTAACCTGATTATCATATAAATAACACGCATCGAACCGTTCAATTCTATTAATTCTTCAGCAAATTTTTTTTTATATATACTACTTAAATTCAAATCGATTTGGTAATTGCGCGTATTATTTGTTCCTTTTTATTTCTCTCTCTCTCGTTCACTCACTCTCATTCTCTCTTTTACTTTCGCTCTCGTTTTTCAAAATGACTATTCGCGTCAAGTAATAAGTCAAAAATTATTTCGTCGAAAAGATTTTACGTTACGAATTTCAAGCAATCAAGAAAAGTATATAATAATTAGCGATAACGAGTTGATAGAAAAATTTCGATTGAAAAGTAAAAAAAAGAATAATATGTGTGGCTACTTATCCAATGGATACAGAAAATTATATCGCTATCATATATATTATTGTCAAATAATAGCCAATTACTTCTGGATTATGCGGAAACTAAAAAAAGAAGAAAAAAACAAATAGTATGTTTGAATTTGGCTTAAAGTTGATTTTTTAAAATTGTATTTACAAACACGTGTGGTATGCCGAAAAAGTGACTCTAGTTCAAGTTTTGTATTTTGATATTAATTTCACGCGCGTCCAAGTATTGTTCTGTTGTCAGTTAATCGGCGTTAATTTGAGAATCGAGTTATTTGAAATTATCCGCAAGAGAAAAATTGGAAAAAAGGCATAAACAGTCGCCCGTGTAAATAGTGACTCCATCGGCATGCCACTGATACAGTAAAAACACACAAGCGCAACACAAGCATTTACACGCTTTTGAAAAACATGCAACACATTTTAGCGATAACATAAGGCTGTGCGTAAATTAGCTGTACACATTTTAGCCATACACATATTATACGAAGAGTACGTAGACAAAAATCGAAATTGGCTCGTATGCACTGTACTGACCGAATAGGTGTCGCGTGGCTTGCCGGTATTGGCAGCGTAAATGCCGCGGAATATGTCGAGGGCCTCTTCGTAACGGCCCCGCGACAGCAGATACTTGGGAGATTCGGGCAGCAGAAAAAGCAGCCCCGCCACGATGAAGGAGGGAGCAGCACAGATGAGCAGAAATATTCGCCACGAATTGTACGTGAAGGACGGACTCTTGACCCCCATTTCCCGAGGGATTATCAGCCAAGCTAGTCCTGCAAAGTAATTTACGATCGTTAGTCAATTTCATCATCATTCAGAAGATCCGTATGGAAAGGAGCAAATTTTCTGAAATAAGCATTACCCGCCACGAAGAGATTGCCCAGGGTCCAGAAGGCCGCCATGAACGACAGCATCGAGCCGCGCTTGGATTTCGGTTGGAACTCTGCAAAGTAGGACCAAATCACTGGTCCACTGCCACCGAGGCTGAAACGAGAAGAAACGATTATTGGCTTAGTTGATCTGTTGCAGCTTGCAGGATTCGGATGGACGATCGACTTACGCGGCACCGTTAAGAAAACGGAAGAACATGAAGAGCTCGTAAGACTGGCTGAAGCTCGAGGCGACGATGCAGAGGGCGTTCATAAACGATATGGCGATGAGGACCTTGCGTCGACCCAGGGCGTCGGCTACCGAGCCCCAGGCGTAAGCGCCGGCCATCATGCCGATGAATATGATGGAGTTGAGCCATCCCTTCGATTGGGTGTTGAGTTTCAAGTCACATTGTGCCGATGGTAAGATGAACGACATCGAGATTACGTCCATCTCCTCACTCGTACTAACGAAGCCGCAGACGGCCAGCAGGAAGTAATGGAACTTGCCATATTCTGAAATTTTATTAGACCCCTATTATATATAGTAAATAGCAACGATTTAACGGACATTTACCCATTTACGTGTGCTAATGTATTAAAAAGGCATTATAGTTGAAATTGTTATTTCGTTGAGGAAAAATCGCGCGATCGAGCTGACGATATCGCCAGCGTTACCGCGAAAATCATTATCGAGTCTCTGCGTGCACTTGGGCCAAGTGTTTCTCAATTCATAAATCAAAGAAGCTGCATCAGCTGCATAAATCACGCTCGGATTCGTACGCGAAGCTGCAAATATTTGTACGCTCGTTCACGTGTCCGATTCGTGCCTTGCCGAGCATCGATATCGCTCGGCATGCGTCACTGCCAAACTGCATATAAAATGACATTTCATACCCGTAAGTTCGATCGCTTGCTCGAAGTCAGCTTTGAGGTGCTTGTAGTCTGGCGCCTTCTCTGGATCGAGGCTCTTACTCTTGGGTCCTATACGTGCAAGTTCGAGGTCCTTCGAACCGCAATCGTTTCGGCGATCGTCTTTTACATCACCCTCTGTAACATAGAAAATGTATCGGAATATGTTTTATCGGATGAGGCAAAAATCGCCTATGCAGACATTTTATCGAAGAAAAAATCATTCGTACGAGCCTTAAGTCTTGGGTGTACACATATTTGCGCGGATCGCGTGCCGTCTTGTGCGCTTTGATTACGATAACGACGCTCGGCGTTCGCGACCCGGCTTAAGGCTCTATTACAATTAACGCCTGACCCACTTGTATCACTTTGCGATCGCGACGCGTTTGTATATACTCACGAACAAAAACAGTCCCACTTTAAATTGTAACTCACGCGGCACTAGATTATCTTGACTCTGACGAGCCTGACTAAAATCGATATTTTTTGTATGGCTCGTGGCTTACGCGCTCGAGTACGCGTGCAATTGCCAATCGCGAGTAGTACTTTGTCTACGTCAAGTATACTACAATCGGACCACTTGGTGTATAATGAACGTGCCAACTTAATTTGCCAATTAATATAATAAACTTGAGCAAGATAACGGATATCCAGAGAAATAATAATCTTTCAAGAGTCGTTAACGTATACGTATTTCGTAACGTACTTGAGAATAAAGAATCGGTAAAACTCACTATGATTTCGCTTTGAATCAGGTTCACCTTCTACCATCCTATGATGCGGCGCGGTTTGTTTTGTCTATCCTCAAGCCGAACTAAAAAAAAGGAGTGAGAGGCTTTTTTTCCGTTTAGATTCGATCGATCGATTTGAGCGGACTTTGTTGTTGCTTCTGCTCGATAAGACAATCGACGGAGTTTTTTGCGCTGGCAATGTTGAGCCTTTGACGAATGAAGAGACTTCCTGCTGATTCTGTGCTGCTCTCCTCCTGCTGCTGCTGCTGCTGCTCGATGGCGGGGCTAGCTTTTGCTCTCGCTCGAAAGCTGCAATCAATCGCAATAAAACCATTAAAAAAATGTCACTCTTTTGGTCGCGCTCATAAAGTTATATCGACGCACTGTTGATAAAACTAGTTCGGCCCAGCTTTCAAGAAACGAATGAGACACTCCAGAATCGCGAGTCGAGTAAATACCGCATGTACCAACTGTTTACATTATTGTTCCGCGATGATATCCTAACCACGGCTAAGAGACAAGATCGAATCTCGTCGTGTTATCAATCTTGACAATGAGCGATATTGGCCCGATTAATTTCATTAACAGAATGCGCGACGTCTTGAAGAAAAAAACTATCATCGCGCGCGCACACATTTAATTGAAAGTGCTATCGACTCCTTGTGTTTCCTCGATGCGATTGCGCCTGTGTGCGCATTGAATAGTCTCTGTCATAAATGATTAATGAAAACGACGCATAATCCAGAGTTGCTTCAAATTACTCGCCAAGCTTACAAGAAGAACATTTTATTCTCTCTCTCTCTCTCTCGTTTTCTCGACCGCACTACGATGAGTAATTATATCGATAAAACTGATAAAGACATTATACGCGCTCCTATGGCTTTTTTGCATTCATTCAGCGTCTTTAATTGTTTAGATTGCGCAACGATTGCAGCGAGCTAAAACGTCAGGCAGGATTCACGCGCGGCACATATTGGCTCAGAAAAATAATTCGATCTATCATTCGAAATAACAACGTGGCGCGAATAAAAATACGTGAACAAGTGTAAAACACTTGTAAAAAATGCTTAACGTCGCTTGTGCATCGGATGCGTGCGCGCTGCACATTATATCTATACATAATAGTATATAAGTACGTACATAGTCGTACGAGCTTATATCTCGGCAACATTCAATTACAATAGTCGTTCCTCTTCGTCTTTTTTTAATTATAATTGTAACGAATTCCCACGCGGGCATACTCATGCTTTGTGACTTGCGCACAACATCAGATATCAATATGATACGTTAATAATATAAAACAGTGATTTGCCTTACTTTTTTTCTCGTATGCCACTCGAATTATACCTGCATTTGTGACAATTTTTTATCATTTTATTGATCAAATACAATGTTATCGAATACGGGCTAATAGACTTTTCAACATTTTTTTACAAGTTTAACTAACATTTTTATACTCTAGTGGCCGCTTCTTTGTATCGAGACGTAAACGCGGGAAACGAATAAGTAGCGAGTTTCCTGTTTTTCTATGTTTTTTTGCGTCCTTAGAGTAATGCAATGTTTGACAAGCAAATAAAAAATGCGAAAAATACAATTTGGAGAAGCGTTTTTCCAATCGCGAGATGTGTAAGTTTTCTCTGCTATATGCATTTTCTCCTCTCCTGTATGAGACAAGGGGGTCCCGGGAGGAGGGAGAAAAAAAAATAGGTTTCGACCGTGACAGGACTCGAACCTGCAATCTTCGGATCCGAAGTCCGACGCCTTATCCGTTAGGCCACACGGTCGTTGTAAAGGGTGGTTTTTGCCCCGCGAACAATAAGCGCTTGAGCGAGCTACCCCATTATCGATCGCGCCGAGCTCGCCCCTGTACGCCAGGCCAATGCAGCAAAGTACAACTCGGCGCATCGCTCTTATGTGTAGCCTTCAATAGGTACATCTTTCTTTTTATCTTTTTCCTTTAATTTATCTTAATTATAAATTTCGTTCAATTCGCCCCTCGTTGAATGAACGAATTGAAATCACTTTTTTTCATTTAGTTAGGAACTACTGAAAAACACCATTAAAAGAATTAAAATGTGTCGAAACGGTTGAAAAAGTATAATGAAAATTCAAGGAAACGAAAGATTCGTGCATTGAAAATTATGAACGCTCAAAATGCATAATCCTAAACAAAATGAATTTCGTAAATTTTTTAAACGGTATCTTGTAGCAGACACAATGAATTATATAGAAATTATCCATCTTACGTAATAGATGTGAACATGCCACAAATATACTCTTGTACATTTGTGCATGAATATATATTTTAAATCGGCCGAATTCAACACGATGATTTTACACCTTATTAGATGTGAAAATATGATTAGTACAAAAAATCTCTAAATTTAAAAAGCCTTTTATGCGGTCTGAAACAGTTGGCGTTTCTGGAACGTCAAGTCTGGCAGAAGTCATAAAAGTATAAAATTTCATATTGTTTTAACAAAGCAAAATCAACCTGAGCTCGTAACGAGCTCGTTATCTCGTTTGGTTGAAGAGTATATCGTTACATTAATTACAAAAATAAGCGCAGCGTGCAAGAATATCGGAGAATCGACTTATATTAATATACATCGGAAGAGAAAAATTGTTTGGTCGAAGAAAAAAAAAAGGCGCGATCGTTTTGATCAACTCAGGCGAGTTTGATAAATTTACACGCGTCCAGAGACGGCGTAACTCCGGCCAACTAAACGTAGCACGCGTGCAGAGTCCGGCTTTATTATAGTTAATCAAAGTTTAGTTGACAATAATAATTGTAGTGACTGGTGCAATCGCGAGACTGTGTGCGCGTGTGCATTGTACGCAGCTACTTGTACACAGTCGGCGCGCGTATATATATACACGCATCGCACACACGTTGAATGAATTTCGAGTTCAACGATCTTCTTGAGCTAGAGCAGTTGTACAGCCAATGCACGAAGCAAAACGTCATAGCGAAATTGACCTATTGCACGAGTGTTACAGCTTCGTTGCTATTTCAATCGATAGTCGGATATTTCGTTCATTTTTTTTATCGTTCAACATTTTTTCCCTCACGCTTGAGTATGTTTTGCTCCGAAATCATCCATACGTGCACTGCACATGCAGAAGTGTGAAAAAAATATATATGACGGGACCGTTGGAATTGGATGCAAATCGTAAGTGTAGTTTTCCGGGCAGTCGTGTACGAGGTTCCAAGCATAATTGGAATCTGTTAAACGCCACGTGCGCCAGCGTATCGTCTATTTATCGTTGGCTCAATTGTGTAATAGCACTTGGTCGTACGAATAAGCCGTTCGCGAATGAATAAGAAACGAGCCAAAAACCAATAAGAGCAGCTCGCACATGTACCAGCTAGCTACACGGAGAAACAAAATGAGAAATCGTTTCGATCCGTTGCGCGATTCCAATTGTCAAGCTGAATCATCGTATAGGCACAGAGATTCAATTCGAAATACAGGCGTTGAATGGAAAGCGATAAGGATTCACCGATGCGAGCGCGAAAGAGCGATATGCGCGCCAGATTCGTTGGCACAGAACATGCCTCCGAGATCGTTAATCGATTCCATTTCATTAGGCGATACGTCAATACGAGAATTTGACACGCTCGTTGGGCGCAGTATTGCATCAGAAGCGTCGGAATAAAAAATTTTCAACAACTTGTCGCCGGCAATCATCCGACTGTATATAATATAAGCGCGATCGAAAAAGTCGCCTCGAATTATTGATATTAAAGCGCGGCCCGATAATACAATACCGAGAGCGAGCGTGAAATACAACGCTGACTCGGATAAGATATAGGCTCGTAAACGTCTTGAGCTCGGCTCGATCGTGCACACTCAAGAGCGTCAAAATGGCAACGGATTCGTAAACAAAGCATCGGACGGTGTCGAATTCGATGCCTCGGAGAGCGAGGCTCGAGGACGACGAGAGTCCAAAACGAAGAAGGAACGGCTCCTAAGAAGCTAACTCAATTGTCGAGATTCAAACTACTGCTGCGCTCGAACGATCGGCCCGGCTCTGCTCTGTTTAGGCATTGAAATCACTAATTCGATCGTTTGCACAATGGTGTACGCGGCTGCGTGCGGGCCAAGTCGAGTCGAGTGCAAGCTGGAGCCGAGAGCCCGGCCCTTTGTCCATTAAACGCGCCCAATTAGCTCGTAATCAGTGCCCAAGCTTGTCGAAAATGAGCACAGCGATTCTTCGGCTCCCTCCATTTAATTTAGCTCGACTTGTATCTAATGTAAGCACGGAGAAGAAACGGATGCGCGCCAGCGAAGAAGGTCGAGCCTCCAGTTTACCGGATACTTGTTGAATCTCAACGTCTTGTTTATATCATACCTGCGCGTAAACGTGCGCGCGTGTGAGCTTTTGCCCGTCATCCTTGACTCGCGCTCTACTGCTCGATAATAGCGTTGTAAACGCCGTCTGCATTTTCCTACCCACCCGAGGATTAAATTCGTCTATATGTGTACGCGAGCATCTTCTCGAGCTATCGACCTTTTCCATAAAATACCGATTAGTCAAAAGTGCAGAGAAGAAATATATATCACTTGCTCTCGGAGCCAATTAACTTACTTATTATACATTTTACAGCTCGTCGGTAAATCATCCTGGAAAATCAACGTGCGATAATCGTTTGTGTCAAGGTCGACGAAATCACAAAACAGATGAAGCTCGGTATCTTTTACCCGAACCGTAACAATATATTGTCTTTCGAATCCATAAAAATGAACATCTACGAATAATAGAGGAAAATTCGGAATTCGAACGATGTGCATTTTCAAGAGGCAGCGCCAACGTCGTCGATGCGTAGGCACGATCTGTGCAAATGTGAGCTGGAGCACTTTGGCGCCTTTATCTCTTTGGCAGATCGTGCGCGCAGAAGCTCGCGCGAATTTACGACTGTTTGTTGCTCGCATTACGAGCTAAGTAATCCGCCAATGAAGGATTTTTCGTTTCGCGTGTACTTGCATTCGTCTCAACGCGCTACAACAACGTCGACGCTCGAGTCGAGTCGCGCATTTTTTTTCTTTTTTTTTTCATTTATTATATATTTCACTTTTTCGACGAGCAAGTAGATCGCTGCTTAAGGCCAATGCAGCGCGTCGCACACGCGTTTTTCCGAATCGATAGACACTACTATTGCGGTGAAAAAGTCTGGTTGAGAGCGTCGCGCGATGACGATCAGTGTCATTCACATCGGGTTTATTTTTCATAAAATATCGCTTTCTCAAATTGTCTTGTAAACATTTGAGTGTGAATTGGTCGTCACGAGTCCGGCCGTTGAGATACAGATAAAGAAAGAAACAAGATCAATAAACAAGCTGATTTACTCACATGAGTTGCTGAAATGCTCTTCGTCAAATGAAGCAACGAGTCCAGTCAGATTCGAATGATACAAGCATCGGGGAGCTTTTACTACGATTGTCGAGCTTCGGCGAGGATTCACTATTTTTAGTCCGTACCGCGAGACGTTTACTTGTCAAATGCTGCATGCAGTCCGTTATTTTGGCCTTTTAATGAGTATCAATACGAAACAACAGGGGACAATAGCCGGCTACGTTGCAGTTGGAATTACGAATAAGCACTGATAAACACAAGACACGCGCCAATAATGAGGTAAAAGGTAAATAAAGCTGAGCTTTTATGGCACTTTTTCTTTCATTCGACTCACCGATGTAATTGTAATTATTTGAATATTTGCGCGTGTATCGGCCTAACAATGGAATAAGGACTGCAGCTGACGGGGCGAGACGTTATGTGCGTGTACAAGTGCGAACGAGAGAATATTGGTACGTACGACCGGCTCGAAAAAGCCACCTGCACACACGCGGCCGACGCTTTAAGCATATATGCTGAAATCCCCCACCTTTGGTTAACGGAGCGCGTGTGTATACGATGCGCGAACCTTGCCCGTCCGGCGCTCGTCGCAGCGCCTTACAACCACCACGCATGCACGCACACGCGTCCGCCGACCAACTTATACTCCCACACCGTCGGACGACCAATTCTGCTACCTTTGCTCTCTAATTTTTTCTTTCTTTCTTTCTGTTTTTTTTCCTTTTGTTATTTCACAAAACTCGGAGCGATTTCTCTTAATACTCGAATGTAAACAATGTCGATCGTAATTATTACTCTGAATAATTTCCCAAGATCAATGAACCTTATATAAGAGCGTAAGCGAAAAATAATATCAATTCGTTTGAACGCAGCTTCTCATTCCAACGACTTTCGGTGGGACTAAACAGAATGTATGTACGTTTTTCCACCGAGGCTACGAGATGCGCGGAATAAAGGGGTCGATTTTTTTTGCTACACTTGTACCAAAATGAAACAAAAATTAAATGGAAGAAAAGCATGGACGACGTTATTATACAAAGTATTATTTTATTTAATTACTTACTACGATTGGCAGGTACACGTTTTGAAAATTATTACAAATATATTGCTCGGTGCGAATCGATCGATACACGGACAATTGACGATTGAATAAAAATGATTCGAGTATCGTCTTGTAGTAGAAAGTACATAGCTTGTATCGAGTTTCGTGTTTGACATGTGCTATAAGACGAAAAATTTACATACCTTATCTGATAAAAAAACCATTTGAATATAGATAATGATTTCAAAAGTATGTAAAAAATATGTATCAAGTGACGATTCATAGTATACGAGATTCATCGTACAAACAACCGATTTTTTGTACGCCGCAGTGCGCCAACGTGTTATTCCGTTCTATCCGAGATAAATGTCGATACTGGTGCTTTATATATTATAGCTGCGAATGAAAGAGTTACCGAATTCGGGGAGCGAGGTGGTATTTATCCAAGCCGTTAGCCGTACATAATATACAACGCGAGAGCATGCAATGTGAGAGGCGCACGTGTCTGACCGAGACAGGGCCCCGACTCGACCAGTCGAAAAAACCCAAGTAGCTCTATTGTGCCAGCCATCAATTGACGAATGGATTTTTTTTCTTTCTTTCCATCATCCGCTCGAATGACTAAGTCGCGCAGTTTGTAGCGCAATTTTTCCAGTGCACGAATTGCTAAAAGGAGCTATTCGGCTCGAGGCGGTTGAAACTCGAACGAGTTCACCCCGGCGTGTACACAATGCGCGACTCACCAAGATATAACAGCAAATATTAACTAAAAATCGAAAAGAATAAAATTGAGGAATTCCATCTTCGTAGTGTTTGTTAGCCTGATGTAACATCTTTTATTCTCTATAAGAGGCGATAATACGCTATGAAAAACCCAAATAATCCAAGTGTAAGGTGGCCTTTTACGTCGCGTATTCAAAAAACATATTTACGATTAAACGATCAAGACGAGTTGCGGACGCACGAGGCACTACGATTTTTATTTACTCATTTTCAAGCATATGAACATCCCAGAAACAAGGTTTCGCAAATTAACCTGTCGAACATCGGTATTCTGTGATGTGCGCGTTATCGGCGCATATGCGAAAAAGACTGGCGAACGCGAAACCATATGCACGTAATACAGGTTTAGTTCAACCCCGAGGCACATTTTATATATGAACCTCGTGATATTTAAGACGCTTTCAATACAAAAAGTCACTCAAACCAGTTTGATCTGGATTTTCTGCGCTGAGAGCAACGCGGACACGTGCATCTATACATGTATACATGCTATAATACGCACGCACGTATATTGACGCGAAAAACAAAACACATATAAATGTTTAAGTGTTTTTGCAGACGCCACTGCTTTTCATCGAATGACGATGTCGATTATTACCCTTTGCACGAATCGAGCTCGTTTTTTAAGTCAAGTTCGATAGGAGGTTAATGTTTGTTGTGACTCCTGCAATGAATCGTGCTCGTCTCGAGACGCACACGTTTCGGGCAATATTGGTTTAGCATCTCGAATAGACTTTTAACTTCTTTCACCGTTTTCGGAGCAAACGTCGAGACCACGAATCGAGATATCAGATTAAATATTGCAATAATAAAAAAAAATAATAAAAAACAATAAGCAATGAGATAATGATATTTGAAAACGTGTACAAATACGCGTAAAACTAAAATATACAGCGAGAAAGAGAAGCTGATACGCGCGACAACGTGACTCAAGAGAAATGTGCACACACGCATCTCGCAAGTAAGTGCACAAACTTGCATATAATTTTACGCATTTGTCGTATCATAAATGATACATATTTTTTCCTTCCGATTGATTCATGTTTATTACATTAATTTTAATGAGAAGTGAACATTTTTTATTGAATTTAAATGTAATTTTTTTGGTAAAAGAAAAGAATTCAAATTTCGAAAACACCAGAGCAGTCAATACACAAGTATATTTAGTAAATAAACAATTTTTTCAAGTCATAGATCATTGGAGGACACGGGTATAGCGATAATTGACAATTTAACTTACGTAAAACGATCTGCCAAGTTTGTGGTGCGGGCTAAAGTTGCCCGATCGTACGGGAACAACCTGGAGCTCGAGTCCCGCGAGCAGCGGGCTTATATACATCATCGGTCGCGCGCACGCTCCTGTGGGGTTGTTAGCTACTATACGCATTTTCCCCTACCTTCTCTCTCTCTCTCTCTCTCTTTCTCTCTCGCACGCTTGTGCTCTCGCTCTTGCTCTCGCTCTCGCGTGCCTGTGTATTGTGTGTATTGTACAGTTAACGCGTCAATTTCACGTATTGCTGAGAATTTCCAGTGCGTAAATTTCGATGACAAATCGGTACCTTGCTGCGATTACAATATTGATCGTTGCGCACTCTCTCATCGTCTGTCGGAACGTCGACGAATATTTCTCATTTTTTCTTCTCTTCTTTGACAAATTTTGTGTAACGAATCAATTTATCGGAATGATGAGTGATACTTTCGATGAAATATTGCCATGTTTCACTTATATGCACTTCATCAAGCACTTAATTAATCACATTTTCGTACGATTTCAAATTAAGAATTGAGTTCGTCTGTTCGCCATTTTAAATAGTTCCATGTCATAAACAAAAGTAATGCTAGGAACTGAAAAATCCTGGCAAAAAAACTCCATCCTTAGAATAGAAGCAAGCTAGGGTAAGATATTTTTGAAAGATAGTGACGAATAGGGTTTTTTCAAAGGCCAACACGCAATCTCATGCAAACATATTTTTCCGCGTACTTAGAGTGGAGTGATTTTCTTGCCTTCACTTTTTGAAGATGTGTTTTTATGTGCGTAGCGTCGATTAAATTTATCTTAAAAAAATAACTAAAACTTTTAATTAACATTTTTCTTCTACTTATAATATTATATTTTTGATGATAATTTTTAAACATTTAAACAACATCTCTTGACGTGTCAATCTAAAAGTCTCAAGAGAATTGTCACACATGATTAACAGTGTTGATGGCAAATCTTGCAGTAGCATGACAATATTATGTATCGCGAATAAATAGTTAAAACGCACTATGCAATTTCCTAATTGTCCCTCTTTCTCTCTTTCTCTTCCGAATTCATCGTATATATATATATATGTCGCGTTTTCTTCTTTCTCGCAGAGAGGTAAAAAGTGATAGAGGTAGGAACATACTCGACTCACATGTGGACATTTATCTTTTAATTCCCTCATACTTATCGTTGCGTGAACGGCATGCATTCTAAAAATATAATATATATTATATGCTGTATTATTAATATTGTATTGATATGAGCGCTTAAGTTATTGTTCTTATAATATGAGTCGGTCAACAAACTCTGGTAGATGGCAAATCTTTATTATTAGCATGTGGTTTGCAACTATATTACCTCGATTAAAACCTCGAAATCGAAGTAAGAATTGAATTAGGACCTACATATCTCGTTGTTCACAAAATAAGTTCAATTTTGTGGTTAAAATTTATTAATATTGCTAATGGAGAGGACTGAAAGTGGATAACTCGTAGTTTTATTACTTGGACGAACAAATTTTTAATTAAAATATTGATCTGATGAAAATTCATTGTTATATTACCTGCGTATTTTTCATTAACGGAGGGGACCATCAGCACACTTTTTTCATGCCATTATTTTTCAGAAGCCAAAATCGAACGTTTAAATATCTAACCAGCAAAAATCTAGAACTTCGTTTTTTGATGAATTCATCATAATCTTTAATTAGGAAGTCTAATGAACCATGAATCTATCTAAAGGTGAGATATTTAAAGTTAATTAATTTAAAAATCATAAAAACTGAGAATACTTAAATAACTCATATATGAGTAATTCTGGCTAACTTTTAAAATTGTATATATTGATGGATTAGTTAACTTATTTACAACTCACAGTTCTAATACTCTACCAGGGTGCTCGAAAAGATTTGACAAATCTGCAATTGTATTATTAGGCTTCTGTGCAACACACGTTTGAAAATAGACTTTACTCTCCCACGTGGAAATAAAACTGTGGTAAAATAATGGGGAAAAAAGTATGGCAAAATTATTGATTTAGCTCGTTGTGCTTAACTGTTCATGCAGAGCAATCTGCATGTTCGATCGTCTCATCTGAGGTAGTGACCGTAACCATATGGATGTTCCGAAGAAGGGAACGCGACCCTGACGCTGGAGCTCAAACAGTACCCTCTGAAAGTTACGATAGATAACCAAAAACACTACTTGCCAGAAAACGCAAAAGAAGAAAAAGTTTAACACGTAAAGTATAGGAAAAAGGCTCACGGAAACAGCTGTATCTCAGTGCAAAATCGAAATTATACAATGAAACGGGAAAGAAAGATCCTACTCAAAAATCCAATAAAAAAATTTGAGTTTAAGGTGTAGATGTTCCCTTAATCAGGAAAATGTACTGCGAGTGAAATACATTTTCGATAGCTTCCATACAAA